TTCTCTATTGATATTTACCATCACAATCATAGTTTACCACCTTATATTCTCTATTGATATTTACTATCATAATCCTAGTTTACCACCTTATATAAGATTCTCTATTGATATTTCCATCATAATCATAGTTTACCAGTCTAATATTATCTATTAACATTTACAATCACAATTATAAGATTCTCTATTGAAATTTTGTTTTGATATTTCACATTAAAATCAATGTGGGATTTAGAAAGAAAAATATGGTCGAGATTTACAAAGCCCTATTATGACCGAGATTTACAAACCCAATTATGACCGAGATTTACAAAACCCAATTATGACTGAGATTTACAAACAAAATTGTGGTTGAGTTTTACATTTAAATCATGGTTTGGGTTTGAATTTACAAACAAAACCATTGTTGAATTTACAAAATTATGGTTGAAATTAACGATCAAAATCATGGCCGAGATTCACAAATAAAAATTGTGGTTGAGATATACAATTAAAAGCAAAGATGAGATTTACAAACAAAATCATGGTTGAGATTCACAACATAATTTAGTTGGGATTTACTAGACTTAGTTTAAAAAGTCGTGGGTTAATTTTACAAACAAAATAATGGTTGAGATTTACAAACACTTTTATTTTTGTGATTTACAAACAAAATTATGATTGAGTTTTACAAAGTTACAAATCAATAGTCCGATGTTTTTTACTTTGGGATAACAATTTTAATTTTGATTATTAGAAAAATGATTATCTAATCTTAGGAAAAGTTCTGTGTTAAGTGGGCCTCTACACTATATAACCTAATTGTTTTGACGTTTTCATTAGTTTTTATCAGGGTTTTTCACCAATAAAACTTCAAGTCGACACCTGTAATGATGGTAATAGTCGACTGGAGTAGGATATACTTGTTATTTCGCCTCATTATAAACTAACATCTTGAATAACTTTCTTCAGTTCACATAAATTACAATAGTTTATGAATATAAACGAGAAATTATCGTCTTTTTAACATCTGTTGAGTTCTTGTCTGTTATCACTAAGAGGTCGCTATAAGATGCCAAGGGTCGTAATCTCCCAAATTATTTCATTGCACGTGCAAGATTTTCCTATCGGCCATCTTTTGTGTGAGGTCTTTTTATGGAACAAGTTAAAATTTATGGCTTTTTTCAAGTAATTTTACCGTAATGGTGAATTCTTCTGGAAACTTGTCTACATTTTTAATAATCTTCTTGTGACAACCTGCGTTCTCCTTAACGCACCAAGACAATAATGTATGTGAACTGTCAAGTCTTCACATAAAAAGGTACAAAGTACTAGATTTCGTTTATGGAAAATTAAAATCCCGACTTCTTTGACCCTTGTTCTTAGTTGTTTAAGGTAATAAATGAACTAGAGAAGCCTATAAGGTTCGTGTAGTGTAATAAGCCCTTTAATACTTAGTAATTGTTAAGAAATTCTTATCTACTACAGTACATATAACACTAGATTTCTTTTCAAATCTTATCTTTTAAATAATAACTTGACAAGTGATAAAGACATATTTATACTTCATTTTGATGATACCCATTTGTCTTATATGATGGCTCCATTTCGTTTCGTCGCATTACATTAACGAGTATTAAGGTCTACATGTACACGATGAGAACATTGTCTCATAAAAGCACTGGCCTGGTGGTATTATTTTATACATTCGTGGATCGTAGAGGCAAGGATTTGGAATCTCAAAGCATATCATTCAGCAATCCTCAGCAGTTTCCGTAAGCTAAATCTGTTGTAGAGCGCTATCGCCACTTTCACGGTAGGCCGTTTGAAAGCACATAAATATCGTAGAGTCCAGAACATACAAATTTCAAAATGTCAAGGATAGTATGTTTATTCACTCGTGAGGTCTGAGAACATACAAATATGTATGCTATACATATTCACTCGAGAGATATGAGAACAAACATATACCAAGAGAGTGCTATATATATTTATTCACTCGTGAGATCTGAGAACATACAAATACCAAGAGAGTGCTATATAATAATATTTATTCACTCGTTAGATCTGAGAACATACAAATACCAAGAGAGTGCTATATATATTTATTCACTCGTAAGATCTAAGAACATACAAATACCAAGAGAGTGCTATATATATTTATTCACTCGTGATATCTAAGAACATACAAATACCAAGAGAGTGCTATATATATTTATTCACTCGTTAGATCTGAGAACATACAAGTACCAAGAGAGTGCTATATATATTTATTCACTCGTGAGATATGAGAACATACAAATACCAAGAGAGTGCTATATATATTTATTCACTCGTGAGATATGAGAACATACAAGTACCAAGAGAGTGCTATATATATTTATTCACTCGTGAGATATGAGAACATACAAATACCAAGAGAGTGCTATATATATTTATTCACTCGTTAGATCTGAGAACATACAAGTACCAAGAGAGTGCTATATATATTTATTCACTCGTGAGATATGAGAACTTACAAATACCAAGAGAGTGCTATATAATAATATTTATTCACTCGTTAGATCTGAGAACATACAAATACCAAGAGGGTGCTATATATATATTTTATTCACTCGAGAGATCTGAGAACATACAAATACCAAGAAAGAGAGTGCTATAAATATTTATTCACTCATAAGATCTAAGAACATACAAATACCAAGAGAGTGCTATATATCTTTATTCACTCGTGAGATATGAGAATATACAAATACCCCGAGAGTGCTATATATATTTATTCACTCGTGAGATATGAGAACATACAAATACCAAGAGAGTGCTATATAATAATATTTATTCACTCGTTAGATCTGAGAAAATACAAATACCAAGAGAGTGCTATATATATTTATTCACTCGAGAGATCTGAGAACATACAAATACCAAGAGAGTGCTATATATATTTATTCACTCGTAAGATATGAGAACATACAAATACCAAGAGAGTGCTATATATATTTATTCACTCGTTAGATCTGAGAATATAAAAATCCCATTTTTTTTCATTATTTAAATATCAGAACACATAAAATTGATGTTTATTTTAATCAATGATTAATTTTATTCACTATGGGATCTCAACATACAAATATCAGGGAATGCTTTATTTTATTCACTGTTGAGATCTCGGAACATACAAATATCGAGGAATGCTTTATTATTCACTATATAGTGAGACCTTATAACATTAAAATATAATGCTTTTGTTTATTCACTATTTAGATCTGAGAAGATACAAATATCAGGGTGTGTTTTATTATACTCACAATTGAGATCTCAACCTACAAATATCAGGGAATGCTTTATTTCCTTCACTATTGAGATCCAGAAGCTTTTTATTCATATCGTTTTTAGAACTGTTGTTTTTTATTCGCTAGATCCCAGAACATTTTTAGATATAAGAGTGATATGATTTTCGTGTTCTTTTTTTTCACTGCAAGGTTCCAGGGGAGGGTTTGATTTTAGACATATTCTTATCATTGTTTGTAATACTTTACAATCCAGTTAGGTTTTTGGTGGGCATGTCATATGAATTCATTTTAATTATAACTTCCTATTTCGTTGGAATCTATTACTATATAAATACAGTCGTTAAGGTCAGACAGAATAGAAGGTGTAGTGTACAGTGCGGGATTGTGGATGCAATAGATTACAAAAGAAGTCTATCTCATACCTCGAGTAATCACTTCTTTTGTTTCTATCGATATTCCACAGTGAACACTATAGAATGAACAGGTTTGGGACGATGTAATTAATGAGTTTTGCAGGTGTTCAGATGACATGATTCCTCGACCACTTGTCAACTGTTGTAATAAGACGAAATATGAGGAGAGAGTATGATGTTTTCAAATGAGATTGAGGCCCCGGTCATGAAAGTGCTGATTTGTTTTCTAGAGCAAGGTCGCATAGGCTCACAAAATTTACATAATATAAGGTTAAAATAAATGCTTATCCTTTCTTCTGACATTACTCATTCAAGGTTGAATTGACATCTAGTTGAAAGGTATATTAAAACAAAAATATGTAAGAAAAGATTTAATCTCAATATATTGCATAACAATTCTGCATAGAAACATTACAATTCCAAAGTCTGTTATCATACCTTATTACCATGAGTGTATTAAAAATAGGGAAATAGTGATACAATTTGGAATGTTTTGTGATGATGGGCACAATTATTGCTTGAAGTTGAAATTAATTGATCAGTATTTGCTCTTCAAATTGAATTAAATTTTTATTTGCTTGCAGAGTGAACTATTACCATTTAGTTAAAATATTATTTAAATTGAGCCCCATTTATCAGGTTCAAGCGAGTCACCATATAATTTGTTAGGCCAGCTAGAACAAACTAAGTAATCAAGTAAAATAGCATCTAAATTGAAAACCAAATAAATGGTAGTGAGAATAAAGTTTCATTCAGAAGAACCACAATTAATGTGTCAATATTCTAAATTTCTAAAATAATATAGAATCTATAGAATAATTAAAATATAACAATATCTTTGGAATGAAAATAATGTTAAAACAACCTGATTATATCTAGGATAGGTGGGTGATAGGTCCATGAATTGCTGTGGGTCAGAGGTTTATAATAGAGAGATTCAGAATGTTTCAGGGCAAGTGTAATATGCATAGATATTGCTTGTTCGATTTGCACATGTTTTAGCTCAGTCTGTCCAAAATAGAAGTGTCTCTTATCCATTGAAGAGATAAAATTTTGCATAAAAATGGAAGAATGAAGAATGTCACATATTGGGATACATATATGTTGTATTATTAATATTAAAGGTATTAGAACTGGACAGAAGACTGTGAGTCCACTTGTAAACACACATTTAATAGTATAATAGTGTTATCATAGTGTTATAAATAGTGTTATGGTCATTTCTGAGTTATAAACTTTTAATAATCTCAGCATAGAACAATATCTGTACAAATTAAACTTGTCTTTTAAACTTTAGGCTATAAATCTGATACTAATATTAGGAACAAGCTGTAGTATGTACAGTCAAAACTTCTAAAATACTTCGAACTGTAGGAAATACTTCACTCACTCTAGGGTAACTTAAAGTTGATGTACTATTTCTGAAAATAAAAAAAGCAAAATAAATATCACTTCACCTCAACAGAAAATAATGTTGAAAATAGTTTATTAATTTCATATTAAGACTAACAGTGCAGAATGTGAAGTATGTTGACTGTTATCTGAAATCAAACATTAAAAGATGTAAACTTCATGAATTTTTATCGTGTTATTTAAAATTGCTATTAATTCATAATTTCATAGTTCTTTCTTAAAAAATTTTGCATGCTATTCTAATTCAGTTAAAAACTACAAATCTTACTTTTTTATATTCATCCATTGTTTAGTTACAAGTATAAAGGCATCTGGTGCTCCTGCTAACATAGCTTCTAAATCTAATAACTAGACAAATAACATGATATGGTTAGCAGATAGTCAACATGCACTGCTGATGTACGATATTTATAAACTAAACTTTTAACATTTATTCTGATAAATTTACTCTGTGTAAAGAACTAATCTAAAAATTCATTTACCTTTCCACTAGGAATTTTACCAGTAACTTGTCTTCCTACAGACATCATTATACCTAACCCAACTGTATAAGCTACTACACTGTTATAATAATAAATTATGATTACTAGATTATTAGAATATTAATTGTTGGTCAATGATAATGAAAAATACTAAATGCTAAAGAAAGGTGTCCAAGATAAATTACAGCATTGGAATACATCAATTTTCCTACTTCTGGAGAGATTTACAAGATAAACAAATAATTCAGAAATGTAAAGCGATTGTTTCAGGGAGTTAATGAAAGGGGATCTAATCTACCATGGACAAGAACATTACTCAGAATTTTATTCCTTTTGTAAGCAGTCATCAAAAGTTGAATATAGATGTTTGGGAATTCGTCCTGAAGTTCTTTATAACTAGTAAAATATTTTGATTCCTACCTGGAACCTCTTGTTAATGGTACCAAGTTATAGAAATAATACATTAATGATAACACCATATTTAAAATAGAATCTACATCCTGTAAAATACAAGATAAAAATATTAATCTTGAATTTATATCAATTACATCAGAAATCCAATTGCCATATGAAATAATATTATTTTCAGAAAAATCCTGCTATGAACATTGTTATTCAGTAGAATAGATTTTATCATGAAAAGAAAGAAACGGACTCACTGTTATTTTATTAGAACCTGTCCTTTTCATTTCTTCTTGAAGTTGATTAAAAATAAAATCCAACTCTAAAGAATAATCTTCCATTCTACCTACATTGTTCGCAGTATTTAGGGCAAATATTACTCGATCATTCCTACAAGAAAACATCTAAGAATAAAATGTCACAAGGAACATTATTTTAAATTACTTTAATGCTGTAACAGAAACTTTATATGACATCATTTGCTTGGTTACATCAAACAAATGGTGGTCGTTGGTTTTAATCTTGATTGGTGTGTAAAAGTCTGAGCACCTTGAATAAGTAATCTTTCCCTATTATTCCTAAAAAAGGGTTCAAATAATCCAGGAAACATTAATGTCAAGAGGTTTGGCCAAGGACCAGCTCTTAGAAAAGATCCTTGTGAACCTACTTTCTTTTAAGTTTCTGTACAAAAAATGTTTTTTAACATGTTTTTGCTTTCTTATTCGATAAAATCAGATGCAGATAATCACATTATTCTCCACTTTCACAGTACATAGAAGATATTACTACTTACATATCTTTTGACAGAACTAAAATAGAGCCATCTAATCTTTTATCTTCTTTAGATTTAGAAGTACTTGGTACTTGTGTTGATACCAGAAAACCATGTGGATTTATTTGTCTTTTCTAAAAGAAATAAATACCCATAAATCAGGCATGAAAATAGTATCTTTGGCTGAGCAGATATACTTTTGCATTTCCAGGTCCAATTCAAGACATAAACATGAGCAATCCACTTTATTTTTGGGAACAATTAGTGGAAATTGAAACTAAAAACACAAGATTATTCTGTCTATTACTACTTAAACTACCTAGAAGTACCTAAAAGTAGTGGACTGCTCATGTTTATGTTTTGAATCAGACCCTGATGTGCAAAAATATCATGGCTCCACTATAGAATGTAGTATTCAAATTAATAAAAGACATTGAGAGAAATAAATAGTTAGACAACTTTATCTGTTAGTATCAAACTATTTTGAAAAAATTACGTAAAAACAAAATATATAACATAATAAAACTGTGAGCTTTGATATATGATAAAAGAAAGTTTAACTTACTCTAGCTATCATTAATAAATCATCACAAGTTTTAGCACTGGAAACATCTTCATGTAGGCCAGAATATACTATAGCTTCATCTCTATAGATGATAAATATTTCATAATAATTCAATCTTTTCTTTTTATAAGTTGATGCATTATAAATTCAAACAGTTAAACTTGCGTCATAAATCATGACCAAAACAACCCAGGGTTTTTTATTTTTTTCTGTTTTATAGCCTTTTCTCAGTCATAAATAGTGTATCTAGTACTGGCCTCCTGCCTATTAAGTGATGCTATTACATTCTAGTCTTATCTGTATGAGTGGTAAGCTCCCTATGCGTAGAGTTATTTCAGATTTAAAAGTTTTTAATTTATTGATATTAATAAGATATACATACCCTGTATAATGTTCTAACATTGTTTTAGCCAGTTTAAACACCAAATCATAATACTGCATTACACGTAAATTTAAAACTGAACCCCTGTAAATATATGACATAGTATAGTATATAAAATATAATAAAATGAATGTTAACTTTAAATATTAATAACAAGTTTGTCTTTTCTAACATGGTTACCTCACAAGCAGACAATGCAAAAATGAAATGAATGGAGTTTTACGTCCTGTTTTTCTGCACCTTGTGGGCTAATGAAGACAGACAACGCCATGCAGGGTGCCATGAGGGAAATTTTCCCAGGAAGCAGACAATGCAGCAATAGGGTCTCTTGATATAGTGTTAATAGAATACTATTCTACTGTTTGGTGCCTCATTAGGTATTGCCAGTTAATGTAACTTACAAGAGATTTTAAAATATATAATCTTATAATAGTCAACAAGTGAACATGACTAAATATAATTACCTTACAAAATTAATATCTGATCTTACTCCATCTGTAGTACGAAATTCAGGCATTGTATCAACCCAAAATACTGGTTGTTCTGGATCAACTAGGCGTCTATATTGTACTGCTATATTGAACAAATCTTGCCAATCCAGTCTTTCTGTAAATAATTTTACACTATCAGTTTATAAACATTTATAATTACATTGTCATATTCAAAAGTTTTCAACCTTTACTTTCTGTAAAAGGAGCAAAAATACCACTCTTTATGCTTGCCTCTCTGGAACACTTATTTCTATCATAATATTTACTTCTATTCCAATATTCTTACCTTTACCATTTTTTAATGATTTCCATTTTTTCTGAAATGAAGGAGAAATATTTTGCTTAAATATTTGTTTTATTAATTGATAGAGCTCAATATCTGTTGTCAATAGTACTTCTCAGAATCAAGGAGTTTGGTTCTACTGCAATTCAAATTGGTTGTTATGGATAGCTGAAATTAAGCTTTATCAACCCATAATCAACTATTAAATGACTTTACCCTTTTAATAAATGTTGGAAAAAAACTATAAATTATTTTTTAATACTCCAGGTAAGAATTCAATTATTCACTAAACTTTGAAATAATTTGCTGATGATGAAATATTCTTAAGGATAAAATATAAATATATTCCAGAAATTTGATCCAAAAAGTATTGGTGATTAAAATTTAATTACATACATACCTCTAAATATTGAGCTATATGTAAAGATGCTAAACCCATAGCTAAATTGAGTCTGTTATTTGGTGTAAAACCATCCGTATTAACTTGTGTATAAGAACCAACTTTAACAGCTTTACAAATGAGATTTCTGACATCAGCTGTATAGTCACTTATATTATGTTCTTTTATATCACTGAAATACAATACAAAATTTAATTTACATTAGTACAGTTCAAAGTGGACAGGGACACTCATAGCTTGTAGTTCATCACTCACATTTACTGCAGTTTCTATGAAATTTCATAAAATATTGATTACTATGTCACTATCCCAAAAAGCAATTTCTCTCAAGTGGTATGGCATGATGAAAATTTGAAAAAAATATATATCCATATTATATATATATTTATCATATAATAATTTGAATACAAATGTCATGTAGGTAGTCACGAGAATAATATGATGAAATATTACCTTATTTCTGGTTGTAATCCAGGTTGTTCTTTGTAACTTTTCTGAAATACATTATTTTCAAAATAATCAACCTTTAATATCTATCCTATTTTCATTTAGCCTCTTACTTTAGTCCTAAAAATATATTTACAATGACTTCTTTGATGCTATGATCAACTCCTGTCCCATCCCAATAGGTGAAACTGAATAATCACATATAATGTTTTCTCAATACTATTTTTCACTCCATCAATTTCTGTCTTTGAAGTTATACTCACTTTAAATTTAAAGGGTAAATTTTTTATCCAGTTTTCTTTAAATTCAGGATCTAAATCAGATTCTGGTTTAAAATGTTTTAGCTGTGTCTCTAATTTAGAGTGTAGATAACGACCATATTCTGAAATAAAGATTGGAAATGACTTGTTGGAACATTGAAATTGACCTGGGGAAAAATGTCATCATTAATAAAACAAATTGAATTACAACGATAAATATAGCTAATAGTGACCCAAAATAAATATCCTACCTTTAAGATACTGTGCCTTTAAAAATTCTGAAGTCATTTTAATAGGTGTTATATTTTTAACAATAACCTGTAATATAATGCAATTAAAAAAAAAGTACAACACCTACAGTTCATAAAGACAATGGTTTTACTGACTGGTTTAGAAATATCCTCCAACATTAATGAATATATAATACATACTGGAAATAAAAGTTCTTCTGAGATATTTTGGATCTAAAACATACTTATATGTCATTTGAGATAAATTATAACAAGAAAAAATAGATTGTAAAATACATACTTTTGCTGATGCCTTTACTCCTTCATAAAACTTTCCTAGTGTCATATATGATAAGGCTTCCATATACTGACAATGTATGTTATTGGTGTCCAATTTAATACATTTCTAAAATATAAATAAATAGAACTAGTAAATATATAGCAGTCGTTTTCTAAAAGATATTTTTTCTTCCTTTAAGTTTGGTAAATTAACCCAAAGTTATTTTTGGTTTATGAACCTAAAGTGTTACCAACAGATATTAAAGTCCCTAAATCCAAAATCTGATTCAATGTTAGTAAATAAGTAAATTTTGTACCTGAAAATCATGAAGAGCTTGGACAGGCTGACCACTATTATATAACATAGAACCATGTAACTGTATACTTAATATATGTTCTGGATTCATCATTAAAGATTGATTAAATCTTGTATTAGCCGCTTTTAAATTTCCTAACTCCCTGAAATAAACATCAACATCAGAACTTTCGAGAAAATCAAAAAAGAAAAGATAAATCTTTGATCATCCTTTTCTTTCAAGATCTATCATTCATATAACTTTGTTAAAGATTCTCCTAAACTTACCTGAAAGCTTGAGCTAAACTTGTACAGGCATCAATATGATCAGGTTTCAATTTCAATACTTCTTTAAAAACTTCTATAGCATTCTGTAAATAATGAGGAAAATATAAGGGAGATAACTCTGCTGTTCCTATATACATCTTACACACTATAAACAGTGATACAGTTGATTTCATACTATTCATCTTCAATTTTTTTCATCTCAATGAAAATGATATTTGTATGAATTTGATATGTATCTATTTCTGATTCAAACAATAACAAACATGACCGATATGATGTCGGATATAAGCAGTGCACTATTATATAGATTCTAAATTTACATTCCTATTAAAGAAAAACTACCTTGGCCAATTAGAGTATATATTCATCTTTGGACATACCCAGTGCCTATAGTATATACATTCCAAATCCGACAAATCCATAAAACGAAGTAATTATCCTTAAAACGCTTATAAAAATTACATTGTGCATACTAAGGTCATATCTCTTGCATACCTACCCTGACTTTTCCTCTATAATATAATGCTAGACCAAGATGAAAATATGACATGATGTGGATATCTCCTTCAGATTCTAAATTACGGCGGAAATCTTCTTCAGCACTACCAAAATCCTAAAATAGAATAGTTTAATAGTAGTAGCCTATATACTAAATCTGAATATTTTTTATCCTTTTTAGAACTAGGATTGAAAAAGTGATCAAAATCATATTGAAATAATAAAAAAAATTCTTCTTGCATATTCATTCATTGAACAATCAGGTTCCAATAAAAACTAAATGAAAAAAAATCCTTTTGGTCTCATTAATAGAACATTTAAAGTACCTCTAATAATAAACTGATGACCCCTCTCATAAAATATATTTTCTCTGTTGGTCTTTTCTGTAAGGCTGTAGTTAGATCATTAAAGGCTTCTTGATATTGACCTAAGCTTATATAAACCTGAAAATTTCAAGCAAGGGCTTTCAATATTCATAACACTTTCCCTGAAAGATCTGGTTGTTGTGTGTGTATCATCAAATTGATTTTGTTTCATGAACTACACCTAAATCAATCAAATTTTTACTGGCCATTTAGAATGCTCTGGATCCCATCACTGTAACAGTTTCATATTTTTCATCTTTACAACAAAGATTTTACATTTTTCATTTGATAACTTTATTGACAAGTATTTTATATTGTTATTACCCTGTAGAATATCATTTTTTAAAAGAATTTCTACATTAATGCGCTAGAATCAAATATTCAGTTGCACACTTGAGAATATATCTACCTCAGCTCTTCTTTCATAACTGTCAGGTTTTCTCTTATCTTTCTGTATAGCTTGAGTAAAGTCTGCTAAAGCTTGAATAGCATTTTCTGCTACCTGTAAAATAAGTGGTAGTCATTATTTAAATATATCATAATACAGTTCTCAATTGAGAACGTTACCTGTATGTGTAATGAAATGCTGTGTTCAAATAATAAACAAAAGTCTACATCCATAAAACTGTTGTTTATTAATTATTTGAAATCTTTATATCATAGTCCAAAAGAAAAGTTAAAACTAGAAGTTTTGGTACAAATATTAAGAAATCAGACTATCCTGGAATAATTTAAAGGCATTGTATTTTGTGAGGATTATACCCTCTATTGACAGCATATTTCAAAAGTACAGTAAAATTAAACATTGAAGTTTTGAATTATCAGCTGTATTAAAATAATCAACTCACATATAAACCCTTTCTAGTGAAGGCCACTCCTCTTCCATAATATGCAGCAACTATCTTTGGCTTTTTCTGAAACAATACAATGAGAGTAAATCAATTTAAAAAGAAATATTTACATGAACAAAACAGTAATTATACATTTCTTGTAGTCCCATTGATGACGTTTTTAGAGGACAGCAGGTCTTTTGATATTAGTGAGCTGCAGTAATTTAACATCTTTCTAGTTGATGTCTAGGTATCAAGTTTAAAAGTTTATTGATGTTTATTGCTTTTATAATATCATTATTGAATCAATACTAATCTACTAAACTTACATTTAAAATTTCAGTGTATATAGTTATTGCTTTTTCAAAGGCTCCAGAGTTTAGATAAACTGTAGCTAAGGCTAGAAAGAAGATATACCAAATAATGAATAAAAGTTATTGGGACTCTGTAAAAGAGATTCTGAGTTGACAAGCCCAGTCAATAAGTAGTATCAGTTGTTGGAAAGAGTGGACATACCCTGCCTTCCACAAAATAGTGGAGCCTTGGACTTTTACTCAAGAATTTAAAGCTTACGGTTAAGAAATGACCTGTACTTACCCAGCTTCTTGTCAATATTGCTGTTGCCTGTCGCCATAGGAACTAATTTTTTCTCAAAAATTACTTTAGCTAATGCCTACATAAAAAATATGATAAGAAGCTATAATTTTCATTTACAAAATTTGATTTAAGTACCAAACCTTTAACTTCTCTCTTAAGTTTTTTGCTTAAACCTGATTATGTCCTGATTATAAATTTGCCATCTATACCTTTGAACCTTCTTAATGGTGGAAAGTTTATCTCTCTACCACTTAAGATTTATCAAAATAAGAAATTGAGCAAAAGATTCTTAATCAGATGAAGAGTGTTATTAATAAAATAAATTACAGCAAAAACAGATTTCAGCTCTCACTGATAGGCCAAATAAACAATGAGGAAGAGACAAAAGAGACTAACTTTTAGACTACTATTTAGATTGATAAATGTAGCACATAGGTTTTAGGTAGTTGTTGTGATTTAAAATACAAACAAAATTACGTATAGAATATATAGTGTTAAGCTGAAACCCCCTTTAAGATACAATGCAAATATAACTTGCAGTATGTCTGTTAAACCCAACTTATCTATATCAATAAAACAAACAAAAATTGTACCTCAGGATCTTGATGGATACAATCAGAAATATCTTTATCTTCCTTTGAACAATATCCTTCATCTGGTGATCGTTGGGCACAGAGTCCCATTGGTAAATTGTGATGTTCATTTTCTGTGAATAATCAATTTAGAGCTACACTTTCTGTATATATATATATATATATATATATATATATAAATCATTGTAATAATACAATAATAAAACAATAAGCTAACATATAAGCTGTCATTCACATTTGGTATAATAATAAGGCCTAGTCCTACGCCTTCATTTCCAATATATAATGTAAAATTTAGCAGAAGTAGATTTAGGCCTAGGAAATAAGTGTATCAAATAGCTGACAATTTTCTCTTTTGTTTTGTATTTTCATTATCTTTTATTACTCAACCACTTAAATTAAGGTCTAACAACTCCCTGGTCATGTCTTTGTTTGGATAAATTTAGCCTAACCTGATGACCTCAGCTTTAACCAATAAAATTAAACTGGTTTGGTCTGATCAGCCAATAACAAAGTGTGTTTCAACAAAGTTTTGGCACAATGTTCAGTTTCAGTGGACTCAGCGCTCCTCTGAATACACCTCATGTTTGCCACACATAATAGCAGAGCCAGAGAGGGAAGAAATGTAATCGGCTGGCGGTATTATCAATCAGATGAAAGTTATATAGAGGAGTTGTTACATCCTAACTTAATGGAGTAGTTCAGTAAATATGAAATAGAAACAAATGAAAGTTCTGCTCTAATTTTAATAAGATTGAAAGTTTGAAGACAAGGAGAGATGGACTTTCATCTGCTCCCCCACACTCAATCTACCCATACACGCAGACATACATTTAATACTCTTACAGGGCTGATGGTAAACCTATGGGATATTTACCACATTCATTTACTATTTCACCAGGTGTCAAAACAACATTGAAACTAAGAGGAGTTATCTCCCATGAATTAATTCCAGCACCCTTTGCTGAACACAATACACAAGGACTTCCTTTCTGTGGGTGTACACGTTTTAATTCAAACATGTGTCGACTCCCATCTTCGTTTTCTATTTGTACATTGGCAATATCACAAACTTGGTCGCATATACACAGAGTAACAAGCGAAAAAGAAAATATCGATGACAAAATACAGTTTCGATGCGCCATGTTACTTTTATACCATTATAGACTTCCTAAACACGAGATGAAGTAAAGGGGAATAACAAAGTTAGCTTCTTAAATAATTCAGACTACATCTGGTTACTTTCCATATCTGATAACTTTAAATCCATTCTATTTCCAGTGATTTAGACATCTATATCTAATCACTTAATTCAAAATCTCTTGATTCAGACAATATTTAGGCCTATATATCTCACTATTTTATTTCAATACCGGTACTATTGATTCAGACAACATTTATATACAGTCAAGTAACCTAATTTCGTGGAAACGTATTATTCGTGGATTTCCGGAAAGGATTAATAATTTACATGAGCGACCTTGCGCGACCTCCGCATTAGTTTGTTTTGATAAACATGGGTTTTCTCTACAATATCAGTTAGTAGAATGAATCCAGTAGTTTCAAGCAAGGTAAAATGTATTAATGTATACTTTGACAAATACAAAATGGCGGATTTCAGTTATTACCAAACGTCACCATTTTTTATCGGTCGAATTTCCTTATAATCCCAAGGTGTAATCGGAATTCCAAGTGTCGTCTGCTAGAATGTAGTCCAACGAATGAAGTCACGTGATCAACTAGCAGATTCCGTGTCAGAAGAAAATTTCTACGGAACACAAAGTGGACCGTATTCTTATGTTATTTCACTGACTTTTAGCAATAAATCACGCTACGTATCTTATTTTGTCAGTCACAATTTTTTTTTTAAAATCGTGGTTCTTTGAAGGAATTGTCACTAGTTATAATGAATTGATATTAAAGATAAATACTAAGAGAAGTTAATTATTCCACCCGGTATCCATACAACGTGTTTTTCTCGACTTATTTATAGATCAAACATCGTACACGAAAATAGGTGACGCATTCTGCCGCCGTTACCGAGTTGGTTGCTCATGAAATATGGGTCAAAGTGAAGGATTCATTAAGAAAATCGAAATAAACCAATTTTAATTATTTTGTAGAATATCTGAGGACACTTCTAAGACATAAAATTTTTTTTTTGTTTTTTTAACTTTGACGAAATTCGGTGTTGAATCCTTATTTCCACGAAAATAGGTTACACCACTGTAAATATCTGATCACTTTATTCAAATTTTCGTGATTAAGACAAAATTCATATCTGGCTACTTTATTCCAAAATTAGTGATTCAGACAACACTATATATCTGATCACAAATATTCCAAACCTCGTGATTTAGAAAACATTTTTATCTGGCTACTGTATGCCATTTCTAGTGATTCAGGCCATCATAGGACAGCATCTATAGCCGCGTTTAGACCAAGGAGCTTTAATAGACTCCATGGTTTAGACAGCCATAAAAACTGGCTCAATTGAAGTGAACCGTACTCGGTCCGGCCTGTACCGTTTACACAGCACTGTTTTCACTGGGCCAAATTTAAAAGTAGACCTGCTCTCCGGACAGAGGAGGCGAAAAATAACACAAACATACAAAATGGCGCCCGCTATAAACAAAGCTATGATTTTGAAGTTTTTGTTGAATTTGTCTCGTTTAGCAAACGAACCTTAAGAATCTCCAATTTTTTTAGACACACAGCAATGAAAGTGCATGTTTGCGTGCACATCGGCGACGAAAACTTTCCTCCAAGTAGCCTACTGGTTTCCTGTTACCTCATACACAGTCTGCTGCCATTCCTCCATTTGCTGCATTTGATTCGACGACAGAACTGTGGCCCGACTATTGGTCTCGTTTTTGTACTTTTATAGCGGCCAATGCAGTGCCTGACGAACGTAAGGCTCAGATTTTTCTAACCAACCAAAATGTTGCCCTCTATAAACAACTGGCGAGCCTTGCAGCGCAGCAAACTCCACCAAAAGACATCAACGAGTTGATGATGGAAGAAATTGTTACATACATGAATGAACAATTTGACCCTAAACTGTTCGTGGTTCGTGAACGTTTCAAATTCTGGAGCGACATGCAAAGAAAGCCTGGTGAAACGTATTCGTGATGACGCGGCTACCTGTGACTTTACTTCGATCAATGACCCTCAGGATGAAGCTCTACGACAGAGATTCATATGCTCTGTGAACAATGAAGCTGTCTTGAAGGCCCTGTTCAAGATCACAGATTCTGAACTGACGTTCACCAAAGCTATTGATGTTGCCATAGAGACCGAAGATGCGGCGAGGGTTGCCACGGTTCCAAGACCAAGCCCGTCAACAAAGTGCACCAGAAGAAGAACAAGGGTCCACACAAGAAACAACAACAGCAGTCGACTTCCACAGACCAAGAAGTGCTACCGATGTGCAAAGGCCCACAAAGTGATAGACTGTCCCTACAAAGAAGCCAAATGCCATTACTGTGACAAGCAAGGACACTTGGAAGCTGTCTGTAGAAAGAAACAACTGCACGGGAAACGCGATCGATCGCAGCCTTCCGTGAGGAAGATCACAAATGCAGAGATCGTCTAAGCTATCCTATGTGAAGTTTCCCAAGAAACTCCAAAGTTGGATGTACCTATCCAAATCCAGGACCGTCAGTTCATCATGGAACTGGACACTGCCACAACAGGCAATTTCATATCTTTGCCGGTATGGAGACAACTTGGAAAACCGGAGCTGGAAGATGTCAGACACCGTTACGAGTCTACAAGCAAGCACGACCTGCCAGTGCTGGGAACTTTCATGAGCCAAACCAAGGATGCAGTGACTGGCAACCAGAGCTCAATTCCCTACATTGTCATCAAGATTCCAGATTTGTATTTGCTAGGACGCATCGCTATCCAGAGTTTAGGAATTTCTGCGGACAATGCTTTAGGACTGAGGAGCATAGAGAGTCAAGTCAAGAGTGAGGATGTTTCAACTACACATTCAGAGACCTCTAACAAGCCTTATGCTGCCTTGCAACGAGATTACCACAAATTGTGTGATGAATTCCCAGATCTCTTCAAGGATGAACTGGGATGTCTCAAGGATTTCGAACTAGAGGTAAAGTTCAAGTCTGATGCGAAACCAATCTTTCACAAAGCAAGCCCTGTTCCATTTGCTCTTCGAGATGACTTGGCTAAGGGTTATGAAGAAGGCATCGCCAAAGGAGTCTGGAAACCTGTCCAGTTCAACGAATACGGAACACCAGTTGTACCAATTCGTAAAACCCCTACTTCTGGCAATTTGAAGACTAAGTTGCGGATCTGTGGTGACTACTCAGTGGGTATTAACGACCTGCTTGAAGATCATCGTCAACCAATGCCGTTCCCAGAGGAACTGATGCAAAGGTTTGGAGGTGGATTCGGGTACGCCAAGATCGATCTTGCTGATGCCTACAACCAGATAAAGCTAGCACCAGAAAGCCAACGTAGGCTGGCACTTAGCACTCACCGTGGGGTATTCCTGCAAGATCGACTTCCTTTTCGAATAAAGTCTGCACCTGGTTACTTTCAGGAGATCATGGAGAACTTGACCAGTGATCTATCTGGGGTTGCTGTCTTCCAGGACGATATGATAGTTAGCGGAAAAGACACCAGCGACCACCTGAACAACCTGAAACACTTGCTCAGATGTCGTCGTGACAAGTGTCTGTTCGCACAACCAAGCGTTGAATACCTTGGACACACCTTGTCGGCTGAGGTGATCTCGAAAGGATCAAAGGTAAAAGCAGTTTTGAAGATGCCACCACCTACTGACGTCTCAAGTCTGAAATCTTTCCTTGGTTCAGTACAGTTTTACTCCAAGTTCATTAAAAATCTGACTACTTTTGCTGAACCACTCTACCGCCTCACTAAGAAAGGAAATCCCTGGAAGTGGGGAGACGAAGAAAAAGCAGCATTTGAAGAGCTGAAGAAGGTTCTCGCCTCGGATCAAGTCGTGGTACACTTCAATCCAGACAAAACATTAGGATTGTCTTGTGACGCGTCCAACGTTGGAATTGGAGCAGTCCTGTTTCATCACTCTCCGGATGGAAGTGAGCGCACAATTTCCAATGTGTCAAAGACTTTAACAGCTTCACAAAGGAATTACAGCCAGATCCACAAGGAAGCCTTATCCATCATTTACGGTTTGCAGAAGTTCTACCAATACCTGTACGGAAGGCAGTTCGTTTTGGTAACAGACCACAAGCCTTTAACTTCACTGTTTGGTCCTAAGAAAGGGACACCACTTTTGGCGGCTAACAGACTATGTCTGTGGGCCCTATGGTTTAACCAGTTTGATTACACCATAGCGTAAAACAGTGGACCATGGAAACGCTGACGCCCTTAGTCGCCTGCCATCTGGAGATGACATAGATTTTGACAGGGAGGAAAGTAGTGAAGATATGGATATGGTGTGTGCCATCAAAGTTCTTAGTCTTCAGGTCCAGCCTGTGGACGCTAACATCCTTCGTAAAGAGTCAGAGAAAGATCCAGTAATTTCTGGTGTGATGCGCTACGTCCGTGAAGGCTGGCCACCAAAGAGCGCTGAGATCAATGAAAGTCGACAAGTTCCGGAAGTTGTCGGACTCACTAAACATCTGTCATGGATGTCTCGTCCATGGATCGAGAGTGGTGATTCCACAGAGTCTGCAGTCCAAGATACTGGATTTGTTGCACTTAAGACACTTTGGCATGGAACGTATGAAGCAGTTAGCTAGAACCACTGTCTATTGGCCCGGCATCGATACAGCTATTGAGATGGCTAGCCGACGAGGTGACTCGTGTGGTGTTCATCAGAACAAGCCATCCAAGCCCCCAGTTCACCATTGGATGCTACCTGAACCATGCAATCAACTTCATGGGTAAAGATTGACTGGTGATAACAGATGCTTACTCGAAGTACCCATACATTCACCCAACATCATCCACGTCTTCGAGAGCCACTATTTACCTGATGCAAGAACACTTTGCTAATTTTGATACCCTCACACGCTAGTCACTGACAACGCGTCAACCGTCACCTCTGAAGAATTCAAGAGCTGGTGCAAGGAACGTGGGATAACGCACCTGACAGGCGCACCATACCACCCAGCAATTAATGGAGAAGCTGAACGCTTGGTGCAGACTTTCAAGCAAGGTTTCGAGAAGTCTTCTCTGCCACCAAACCAAGCACTTCAAGATTTTTTGATGCAGTACCGGAGAACACCAACGTCCTGTGGATATTCTCCGAGTGAACTTTTGAACTCCAGACAAGGATCGACTCTCTTCTTCCCTCTCCAGCTCACATTGCTCATCAAAGTCTCAGATGACTAACTCGGGAGGTGTCGCCAAGGTCACCAGGCAGTATAAGGTCGGAGATTCCGTGTATGCGCTGTACCATAGACCTCGTCGAGACAGACAACCCCGATGGGTACCCGCACTCGCTGCTTCAACGTCAAGGTTATACCTTGAGACGACATTGGGAACAGTTGCAGCCACGCCATGCAACTGAGGAAGACAATGAACCTGGTGATGTATTAAACAATATTTCTGGTTTCATGGCAGATCATCCAATGGATATTTTAGATGTAGATCTTGCTCCACAAGTTCAGAGTCAAACCAAACCAAAGACTGTGCCATATGTTCCAGAGTACAGACCAGACAAGACAAGAAGATCAAAGAGACCGCGAAAACCTATTGAGAGACTGTAATGCTAAAGTTTAGCATCTATTTTCAGTAGGGAGATGTTGTAGAGAATGTTTTCAATCTGTTATAAATCCGTAATATATGGAAGGCTCACGTGACCACTAGATTATGTAAACATTCGAGAAATAGCGTGGCTTAGCCTACATTGTTTTGTACATTATAGTACTTATAAGCAATAATGAGATATTGCCACTGTATTTAGTTCCTGTTTCTTTATTAAATCAACCTTAAAACCTTGTCATCTTGTCGTCCTTGTGAGTTAATCAAAAGGGGACTCTCAAAAACACAACATAGGGCCTACACTGAAAATATGGAAAACAAAAGATACGAAATTGTTATTTGATTTTAATTAGATTAAGGCTACTGCTACTGTTGTATTTTGATTATCTTTGGTTGCCGAACTTGACCAAGGCACTTTGAATTTTCGACTTTAACTATTAGTTTGTTGGAAGGCCCAGGGGCCTATTTACAAAGACTTTCTTATTCTCTAGTTAATATCCTGTTAGTTTTTCATTCGCAGCCTAAATGTTACCATACCAGCCCCGGTCTACCCTAGCGTACACATTAAGCCCAGGTCTTATAGTTAGTTTTACAACAACTGTAAAAATATTGTGAACAAAGATTATCACTTAGGCCTAGCCTAGGCCTAGGGTAGGCCTACTGGAACTAGCTTAGGCTACTTGAAGTAGACTAGGCCTGGGCATGTTGTTCAGCCAAAATTAGGACGTTTTAGGTTGAAATATGGCCTATCTGTAAGGGGAAGAAATTCTACTAGGACATGATGTACGGTCTTTGGCTTACTTTTCAAAATTTTATATATCAACGCCTACTGTTCTAATTGGATTATTCAAATTTACTTTTTAAAAATCGCCACTAGCCTAGTTGACCTACTCGATTTAATGTGTAGGCCTAGAACAGTAGTAAAAATGTTAAAAAAAATTTCCACATAATTATGATGAAAACGACAAATCCTGAGAGCAAAAGCAGAGCAGAAAGTCAATACTATCTTGTAAACGTCATTTGTATGACGTCATTTTTACTTTTGACGTAACTTCCGCCATGGACTAAAAATCAAATCTGACACTCAGGTAAGCTGAAAACTACAAGCAGAGCCTCAGACCAGGGGTTTTCAACCTTTATCTTTCCATTTCCCCATTCAGGATTCCTTGATCAATTGCATTACCTTCCTCCGCCTTTAGATGTCAACTTCAAACTTCAAAGAGCTGGAGTAAGGCTTAGCTACCAATACAAGAACAAGCCGAGGAAATTGTCAAGCTATTGCGAACTTCTTACCGGCTTCGTATTTTTCCTTGACTGCAATATAGTCACCTTTATTGTATCATAATATGGAAATTTGTAAATGAAGCGATTTTCTTGGATTGTACGCTAGCAAATACAACCAATCTGAGGCCTCGACAATAGGTCTGTGAACAAAAAACCTTCAAAATGGCGGATTTCACTTATTACCAAACACCAATTTTTTATCGGCTAAATTTTCTTATAATCCCAAGGTGTAATCGGAATTCCAAGTGTCGTCTGCTAGAATGTAGTGCTACGAATGAAGTCACGTGATCAACTAGCGGATTCCGTGTCAGCAGAAAATTTCTATGGATCACAAAGTGGACAATTTTCTTATGTTGTTTCAATGACTTTTAGCAATAAATCACACTACGCTCTTATTTTGTCAGTCACTATTTTTTTTTAAATAGTAGTTCTTTGAAGGAATTGTCACTAGTTATAATGAATTGATATTAAAGATAAAGACTAAGAGAAGTTAATAATACCAACCGGTATGCATACAACGTGTTTTTTTTTTCTCGACTTATTTATAGATCAAACGTAAACGAAAATAGGTGACGCATTCTGCCGCCGTTGCCGAGTTGGTTGCTCATGAAATATGGGTCAAAGTGAAGGATTCATAAAGAAAATCGAAATAAACCAATTTTAATTATTTTGTAGAATATCTGAGGAAACATCTAAAAATCCGTTTTTTTATCTTTGACGAAATTCGGTGTTGAATCCTTATCCACGGAAATAGGTTACACCACTGTATGTTTAGTTTACAAACAACCTTTCCGCCGTGGGTTCTGATTGGACGTATTAGCCGGTGTAGCCTACAATCCGATCAAATAGCTGCATTCCTTGTTTGCTATTTCAGTCAATATAGTAGGTAATAGCTTGACATTGTGAAGATGAGCTAAGCTATGCCCAAAGAGTAAAAAGAATTATGAGCTTATAGGCCTATATATACAAAACAATTATGAAAACCACTGAAACTAACATCAGTATAGGGCCTAACATTCTAGCAAAAGTGCTTTGAAGATTTCCTTTTCAGGTTTCACTAGATTTTGAAGAAGTTGCGTGAGAACTTTTGCAGAAGTAGCAAGGAAAAACCGATGACCAAGTTCGATTAAACGTAGAGAAAGACATAAAAATGTGTGATCTGAGTGAAGATGATCGTCTTAGATTGATCTGCTTAACTGCTCTATTATCTTTCTTATCCGTAATACCAGCTCTGGGGCTTGTGGTAATTGGTAGTTATACTCGCAATGCTGTGCAAGATAAAGTCCGACTTTTAGAAAATTTCGATACCTCTGAACTTCCAATCATTCTTGTGGCGTTTGGACTTTATTCCGTGTTACATAATGTGATAGGTTTATCAGTTATGCTTTCTTTGAATCGACCAAATAGTCGGTATACACGCATGGGTCTACTATGTGTGGAAATAGTCGCAGGAATCATCCTGGTAATGGCTTGTGTTGGCTTGGCTATTGGTTGTTTCATACAGATTGACAAATTGGACCAATCCTTTCATGGAGGTTTATTAAATGCAATGAAGTTATATAAGAAAAGTCCTCTGGTAAAAATGCAAATCGATAAACTTCAGATTGATTATAAATGTTGTGGAAGCGCAAGGTTTACAGATTGGTTTGAAATTGCTTGGAGAAAATCAGAGTTCATCAATCCGTCTGACCCAAGTTATAGACCCAGGTAAATTTTGCCTTTCATGGTATCCAATCCATTAACTATAAAGTCTATCAAAAAATTGAAATATTGTTTGACGCTTTTGTGTCATGTCAGGGGGTAGGGGCCTGTAGTTATACCGGTACTATTATAACCCGAGAAATCTAATCCTATCCAGTTCCTCGTTCCTCAGACGTACAGATGTGTACATATAAGATATCGTCAGCTCTATGGAACTGAGTAGGATCAGATATATGTCGGACTAGAGGTATTTTATGGAAATCATTCATGTGTATCATTCACGACTTATGATATATTAGATTAAGCGTTTTTAGATAATTACTTATTTTTAACAATTTTCCAGATTTTCCAGGGATTCTGTTGTAACTTTATCACACCAGCTAAGTTCACTAATGAATACAACACTCATATTGATCATTCTTGAGAACTTAAATTTTATGTTCATTCTAAGACAGTATCACTTTAAATCGATTGGCGAGTAGTGAAAATTATTAAATTTTTCCTGAAGCCCATTGGCGATATGATTGGCTGTCTCAGACCATCAGGGATTCCATTGGCTGCCATGAACATTCATACTTAAAATCACAGTCCATTGATATAGATATAACAAGAGAATGTGGTCATTGTCAAATGCATTTGCAATGCCTACAATAATGCCTTTATTCTTGTATAAAATTGTGATTTTACGGTAATAACGGTGTAAGCTATTTTTTTTTTTACAGAGGAATAGATGCAAAAAGAGAATATGTCAATGATGACGTACCGTTCAGCTGCTGTAAAGTCAATGTAGCAAGACCATGTATTAATCACCATGTATTGAATAATGCTAAGCATTATAAATATGACTTCGAAAAAGATATAACTCTCAATTTAAAGGGATGTCGACATGCCTTGGTCGAATTTTATGGTCACAACATGATGAATTATATGGCAAATATTGTTTTAGGTCTCGCAGTTGTGCAGGTATAGTTTATGGTTACTTTCATACTAGTGAAAGACTCAAATTCGATGACAAATTGAAACCAGGAAAAAGCACCTGTTTTATGTGCCCAATTTATAAAAAAAAAGTTGGGGCTTAGTGCGAAGAGTGGAGACGAAAAGGGATGAGGTGGTAAGGGACGAAACGAGAAAGTGGGACATTTATAAAAGATAGGACGAAATGGAAGGGGGCACAAATTATAAAAACTTACAGGGGCGGAGTGGGAAGGGGCGAAATGATAATGGATGAAATGCGGGAAAGGGGCATATTTTAGGGCCTATTTGAAAGGGTCGAAACAGAAATGGTTTAGAGACGAATTAAGAAGGGGCTATATGGGAAAGCACTTGCTCTCTACACAATTTGACTAATTTGCAACATGCAGACTTTCTTTTTGAACACTACTTATTTCACCCAAGACAAAATATTCAAGTGATGCCAATTCAACAAATTATGAGTATTCATTCATTCACATTCACTGTATATCTGTTTTAATACCAATATCAGATCTCAATATTTTAATGATCTTTATTTTTGATTTTATCATAATGACAACATTACAAATTGTCCAATATCTTTTGAATGCTTTTAGTTTGTGATTGTCCTATTCACAAGATTACTACATACATCAATAAAGGACGCTATATATAAATATGGGGATGCAGAAGAAACAACAACTGGTTATTTGTGTTCGCAAGGCGGTATGTATATATTTCACCCTAATTACATTTAGGTATATTTAACAATGTAGATCATACTACAGTTGATTATTTTGTGTGAATGAATTAATATATAGATTTACATCATGCTAATTAATACATTAAGCATCTTAAATTTCTGATTATTTTCAAGTGGAAAATTACTTAAACGGATTTAAAGAAGTTTTTTATCCTTTCTATGTGTATCGGGGATATGACTTCTTTATCACAACTTACATTGCTTAGTTTTAACGGATAAGAAGAGATGTATGATAATTGTGCCAGAGGGCTAAATATCCTTATTTATGATAGGCCTACAATGGCTGGTTTTGAATACAGTCTAGTACTACTGGAAGCTAACTTGATTTACCAAATGTTCGCACAACGCACAAATATCATACAAATCTTCCATTCCGTTAAAACTAAGCAATGTATGTTGTAATAAACAGTTATGTTAGGCAACGGCGAAGCAAAATGTGAACGAGTCGTCGATTTTTAGTTAAAATGCCGCCATCTTGTAAGGGGAGATTACATATATTATTATGTTATTGTGGTCTGGTGATATCATGGTTACGAATTCTCTTGCGAGAGCAACTTAGTTTTCGAATAACTCCTTCAGCAATTGCAAAAACCACAGGTATTGGACGAAGAATAGAAGTCAAAGGTGTCCCCGGTTACATAAGCTCATAAAAAGACTAGAAAACCTCTTTACAATCCCTTGAAGATTAAAGATATAGATTTATTTTTGGTTTTATGCAGAAACTAATAAGATGACATTTTTTTTGTGTATTACAGCTTATATGAGCGGCTATTGACAGCTTGGAAGAAAATATTCTTTTTATTTCTATCTACAAGTTCTGAATCAGATTAATTAATACCTTTCGTCCATATAGAATGTAGGCCAATCAAGTAGCACAGTATTTGATCGCTATAAAGAAAAAGATGAAAGAAAATCTAGACTACATTTATTAAGAATTAGCCGGGACTGCAAATTTTTTATTTGGAGGGGAGGGGGGGTTGGGGACTGGTGTCATGCTACCCCTAGTAAAAAAGGGGACGAACCCTGCATTTCATTTTTGCATTAAAGGTACAATTGTGCCATTCTTTTTGACCAATTATAATGATACGTTAGTCTCAATGGGCGGATATAACCTTGCCAGACAAGCTATCTTGTCTATTTCCTTTCTCTATTTTTCTTCTGTTTTTTCTTTGGCATTATCCATAGGCACCACGCCCCCTACCCTCCTTTTCGAGCCACCGATGCCGAATAGGGTGGATTTATACCTAGCGATACAGAGCCATGTTTCCCAGACCCTACTGGCTCCTCTTTTCTGGACTGTTCAAAGTCTCTTCCATTTTGCTGATAATAAGTAGACAAATCCTTTATATTCTACAATTTTATTCAGATGCTAATAAACTTCATTATTATAAAGTGGTTTCAAAGGGGTTAAACTGGACGATTTGATCAAGCCTTGGGTTAGGCCATTCTAGATTTAACAGGCCTCTGTATAATGATAGATAAGACGGTGATTGGCTTGAATTTTTAAAAGGGATACAACTGGGATTCGAACCCTGGACATGAAAGTCATCAAACCACTAGGCCACCGAGAGCTAGGTTTCTAGTGAGTTTTTACCCTAGGATTTAGGTTGCTTATCTTCTCACCACAAAATGGTCCGGAAAAAAGAATGACACAGGGGTTTAAATGGGCCCGAAACAATTTATAGCCCCGCAGTGGTACCAAAGGGGTTAAAGTGGACGATTTAGATTTCACAGGCCTTGTGTGTATAATTAAAATGATAGATGACGGTATTTGACTCAGCAAAAAACTGGCACTCGCCTCGCAAGTGCGCATACCACTATAGGACACCAAGACCTAGGGTTAGTGAGGGTTAGCGAGGGTTAGCCCTAGGGTTATTGTTGGGAATTTAAGGTTGTAATATTGCGGTTAAGCAATGTTACGAAAGCACAGGCACAAGCATGTAGTCGTAACCTCTAGTGATAGAGCAATGTTTGTGAAGTTAGTTTAAAAGAATGATATAGAATATTTGAAGTGCAAATCCATTATCTTCCGAATCTGAAATATATAAGAAGAATACTGGTTCCAACAGGAACATTAATAACCATGGAAATCATAATAAACATTTTCACTGGTGAATATATATAATTTATTAAGTGAAAATAGTATACATGTATGATATTTTTGCGAGGAAACTCTTCAATTGCAAGTTATCATAAATAAGAAATATTAGTTAAAAGAAATGTACTAAACCTATCTACCACGGACTAAGATATCATTTAGATTTTTATTACGGGTATAGGCGATAACTAAATCATTTGTAAAGACTGTTGGAAATTTTCCCTGCAATTCTTTGTAAAGACGGATAATTATTCGGGGAACTTGACCAGCTGTGTTGTTGTATTGAATAACAAAAGGTATAATTTGGAAATCAACTTGGATGTTCATTCCCAAAGGATGCATGGTTTGTAATTTGTTTATCCAATAATTTTCGCGAATGAGTCGAATTTTCTTTGTATCAATGCCAGGTTGTTCGTATATCTGTTCAATGGGAATAATTTTCAGGTCTGTTAATTGGTGATCGGGTTGATTGAAGTGTTTTGAAACGGTTTTATTAATTTTTTTTAAGTTGATGTCAGACTTATGATGATTGAAACGGACCCTTAACGAATTTTTTGTCTCCCCAACGTATTGCTCGTCACATTTTGTGCAAGAAATGAGATAAATGATATTTTTGCTGTTGCAGTTGAGTTTTTCATTTACTTGAAATATGGAATCTGTGCGTCTATTTCGGAAAGAATTTGTTGGTAAAATGAAGGGACAGGTTTGACAGCGAGGGTTGTTACAAGGATAAACTGAAGAATTTGGTATTGGCAAAAGAATCGAATTATTTTTAGCAGAGATTTCAGCAACGGTTGAGCTTTTAATACCTCTCAAGAACCTTCTAGAATATCCACGTTCGCGCAATTTTTGGAAAACAATTGAACAAGCCTCCTCGAAGTCCTTCTTGCGCGTACAAATTCGGTGAAATCTCAAGATCTGCGACTTTATAATGCCAGAAAAGGTATGTTTAGGATGAAAAGATGATTTGAATAAAAGTTGGTGAGTATCAGTGGGCTTGAAAAAAACTTTAATATCTAATTGATTGGTTTCATGAAAATTGGTATCTTTAAAAACTGTGGTGTCTAGAAAATCAATCTGTTTGTCGCTAATATTAGAAGTTAATTTTACAGAAGGGTGGTGGCTATTGAGAGTATCAAAATATTCCCAAAATTCATCTATTGTATAAGTCCAAATTAAGAAAATATCATCAAGAAATCTTACATAAAAAATTGGTAGTTTGGGACAGAGGAGTGAAACTTCTCTTTCCCATTCTGCCATGAAAATGTTTGCATAAGAGGGCGCAAAGCGTTTAGGGTTATCCCTAGTTTTGAAATATCATTTTTTAAAAAGGAAAAAAGCAGAAAGTCAGTTATGGCTTACGCTTACGTCATTTGCATGACGTCATCGTTGACACTTGACGTAAATCCCGCCTTAGACTAAAATTCATATCTTCATCAGCCAGGTAGGCTTAAGACACAGAACTAAGACTACAAGTAGGCCTTTAGCTTTTAACTCTTATACCATCAGAAGTCATGCTATCCGAACAAAAGATTTGGAACATAAAATGCTTAAATCCTGCATCCTTATAGGCCCCCGTAGCCAAATGAAACCAATTGAGCACGAATTGAAAGTTCCGTAGGCCCACATCATTTTTTTTAACTGATCTGTCTTCAAAATGTTTTTCTCAAAATATAAAAAAGGAATAGGCTGTATTTTAAAACCATTGTCATTAGAAATGTAGACAATATTGCCTATGATATTGTCTAATATTTTTACTAATTTTAGTTTGAGATTAGGCCTATCATGTTGAAAACATATTAGCCTATATGACAAATATGTGGATGCAGACAGAAAACGGTGATATGGGTGTGAAAGGTATGTATATCACAGGTATTAGAAACAGGCCCATAGCCAGCCTACTTCTGGAGACCTCCTCTAGAAAATTTGACTCGCTGAAACGCTAATTCCTGGCGAATTTAAGGTTTATTTGTGGGACCATCAGAAGAAAATTTTGAGAATTAGACGCCGTGAAACGCAAATTCCTGACATTTCCCAGCGAATTTAAGATTCAAGATTATATGTAATGGGTCTATGGGATCTCGCCTAGGAAATTTTGAGAAGAAAAGCGATATCCTGACATTTCCCACCGAATTGAAGGTTTAAGATTATTTGTATAGGGTCTGTGGTTTGCCAGTTAGAAAACGTTGAGAATTAGACAATTTTTTTTTGGGGATCAAATTTCGCACACATACAACCATCCAATCCAAAAATAATCACGTTGGATCTGCGCACTTCTGGTTTTGATTCTTTCTATTGACCCATTTCATCAATAGCTCTCAAGACTGATTGAATTAATAAGAAATAGATTGGTTTGTGGTTGATTTAAGGAACTAATAATAATGCTTTTGTGTTTTATTAGATTACTATGATGTTTCATATAACCAATCTAATAATTCGATCGAACCTGAAATTGATTGGTCCTCATATGCCAAAAACAATAACGAAAACATTCCTTATTATGATAATAACGATGACGATATCTACAACACCAAAGACGACGATGATGATACCGAAAACAACGCCGGTGAAGTCGGTGATGTCTACAACACTGAAGACGATGATGATTATGATGATAATGATAATTATGTTGATGATGAAAAATATTATTATCGATCCAAACATACACCTGGCTTCAATCTAAACGTTCTAACGACAGATTTGTTCAAAACACCATATAATAATAAGAAAAGCAAGATCAAAATCAAAATTGGATTTGAGTCTGGTACAAGTGATTCATCACCAGACAGTAGCTTTAGTGATGATGTTTTGTCTCTTAATTTGTCTGACAATTCAAGGGACTTTACCACTGTATTCGAGTATTCTGGAATAGGGTGGATTTTGATGCCATTGAAGAAAACTTTCTTATTGCGCATACTTGAAAATATTAAATCATTGTTGCTTCTTGCCTCTCTGTGTTTTGAGTAACTGCTAATCATTTTTTGGTTCAACTGTGTTAATAAATATCATGTATACTGCATCTGTAGACTTCCGTTTCTATTGCGTTCGAGTATGTATTCATACATTTAATCTGTGCATGAGTTGTCTTAATATTATTTCTAAATTTGAAAAGTGTAAATTTGTGACACAGAAAAACTTTAAAGTTGAAGTGCGAAGGAGCTTTTTATGAATTTAAATGACATTAGATAATCTGTTACATAACATGTTATATAAGGCCTATTATTATTCAGTTAGAATGAAAGAAAGAAACGAGGACTCGACTATATTTTACAAGGATAACAACTTAGGTAGGCTTACACAGTTAAGGATCCTTTCTTGGCCCTTGGCCAAAACTTCTTAGCATTGATCATCCCATTATAACTGACCATCTTAATGCCCTTGACCCTGAACAGGGGCCAATTGCTTGACCTGTTACATATCCCCTTTTCATTGGTGTGATCTAAATATAGAAATGATGAAATGTGAATGTTGGTACGTCCAGATGTTGATCAACGTTCGTCGAAAATTTTGTATGTATCGATGACACACTAAGGTCGGTTAGTCCACAATTTTGATTGGTTAAATTCTTCACAGTTAAAAAAGCAAAGCAGAATGCTGACAGTTCGGTGTATGAAAACAACAGGACTACACGGATGCTGGATATAGCAAGAACATGCAGGCAGGGTGTGAGTGTGTATCTTAATTTCTTTTAACAGTTTCTAATATTTTTTTAAAATAGCTATATGGAAGCTATTTTATAAAATCTTGAAAATTATTGTCTCAGCTTTTCTATTTTCGGCTAACTAAAAAAGATTGAAGTTCTTTTAAGTGTTATACGTATAGTCTGCTATTTTGTATCTATTCTTAGCTAAAACTCTGCTATTTTCAACTATTTATGAATAAAGCTAGATATTAAAATTTATTTAGAAAATCTAAAGCTTTTTTCCGGCTATTTTTATTTCTCCATGCTATTATAGAAAATGATTGAAATTATTTCAAAGCCTGGACATATGTAAATAGTCTCCAGGAGTAGTACGAAAATAGTATTATTCCGTCGAAAATACCCCAGGATTTTAACGTTTTATTTCTATGTATGTCTTTTTATACGCTCAAATAAAACGGAAGGGGCGTATATTGGCGTTACCCATGTCCGTCCGTCCTAAATTGCTCGTAAACACTCCAGAAGTCACAATTCTTGATGGATTTTGACGGAACTTGGTGTGAGTGTTTGTTATCACCCAAGGGTGAACTCTAGTCCTTGTCCTTCAAAACGCTTTCAATTTTTAGCTCGTGAACACTTAAAGGCTTGAATCTTGCTCATGGATTTTGACAAAAGAAAAATTCAAATGATTTTCTATTCTGATTCTTAAAATAGAGGCTATTTAGGCTCTATTCTCGAGCTATTTTCTATTTTAAGTGCGAAACTCAGATCCTGCACCTTCATGTCCCGTTTCTAAAAGGAAGGTACGATTAGTCAACAACAAAAATAGAGCATCTGTCCCTTAAATACCTATTCTGCTAATAAAAAGTAACTTATGTACAGTCAAGTAACCTAATTTCGTGCTAACCTATTTTTCGTGCATCTCCGGAAATGATTAATAATTTATTTGTGCGACATCGCGTGACATCCGCATTTGCTTGTTTTGATAAACATGGGTTATCTGTACAATGTCAGCTAGTAGAATGAATCCAGTAGTTTCAAGCAAGGTTAAATGTATTAGTGTATCATTTGACAAATACAAAAAGGCGGATTTCAGTTATTACCAAACATCACAATTTTTTATCGGCTAAATTTTCTTATAATCCCAAGGTGTAATCGGAATTCCAAGTGTCGTCTGCTAGAATGTAGTCCAATGAATGCAGTCACGTGATCAACTGTAGCGGATTCCGTGTCAGCAGAAAAATTCTATGGAACACAATGAGGGCCGTATTTTTTTGTTGTTTCAATGACTTTTAGCAATAAATCACGCTACGTATCTATTTTTATTCAAATCATAGTTCTTTGAAGGAATTGTCACTAGTTATAATGAATTAATATTAAAGATAAATACTAAGAGAAGTTAATTATACCACTCGGTATCCATACAACGTGTTTTTCTAGACTTATTTATAGACCAAACATTGTACACGAAAATAGGTGACGGATTTTGCCGCCGTTGTCGAGTTGGTTACTCTTGAAATATGGGTCAAAGTGAGGGATTCATAAAGAAAATCGAAACAATCCAATTTTAATTATTTTGTAGAATATCTGAGGAAACATCTAAGACATACAATTTCGGTTTTTTTTTTAACTTTGACGAAATTCTGTGTTGAATCCTTATATACACGAAAATAGGTTACACCACTGTATTTAAAATTGGTGTTAACCCTATCCCGAAGGCTATTTAAAGATATTACATTATTGTAGCTTCTGTAATTATAACTGTTGCAAGCCCTCAACTTAACCCTAAACAACCTATAACTCTAGTGACAAAAGCTCTCAACCTAACCCTAAAAGATGTTACAATAGTAGCTTATGTACTTAGAACTATTGCCAGCTCTGAAGATGATAGCCTACATCAGTAGCATTTAGAAATGTTGCAAGCCCACTACCTATACTACTTAGCTAAAATCAAAGATGTTTTTAACTTAGAATAGCAAAAAATTTGGCTTTTTTTCTATTTTAAGTGCTAAACTCAAATCCTGCACCTTCTCGGTGAGATTGAATTAAGGCCAATGAGTATATATATATACATGTATATTTGAAGTAGCCTTACTATACGGTTGCAGATTGTGATCTTGAAATAGTTTTACAAAGTAAAGATGTGATGTCAATATACCTTACTCCCTGTAAGTTATGACTCTTATAGAATATGTAGGCCTATATTAAATATTGTGATACTGATGCTATTTCTTTCAGGAAGTACAAGGTTTCACCAACATGAGTAAACAGGCGAAACTTATTATGAAACCATGCTTTATTCAGCACAACTTCAGAAGGTGTACAAAACTAGACGTCTCTCGTGGTGGAGCTATGTACCTGGCTGGAGTGATTGAATATGTAATAGCTGAAATGATGGATTTAGCAGCACGGCAAGCTACAGATTACAAAATAAAACCACGAGACATTCTGACATCAGTTCGTTATGATAAGGAGTTAGATAAATTTCTACTAAAACATGAAACTAGTGAAAGTTCAGCTTCTTTTTTGAATTTTATCAATTGAAGACATTTTTCAACAGATCAGTAACTGGTTTTATAAATGTAATGATTAAATACAAGTATAAAGAGTTAAAGTTTCTAGGTGTTCAATAAACTTTGACCCAGTGACGTCACCATTTAAATGAGCAATCCAGACATTACGCCGTATCAACATGGCGAACCTAGTATTAAAAAAAAACCTATTGCCCTGAAAATCTATTGATGTACAGATACTTGGGTCAGTATAGGATATAGCTGAGCCAAACAGTAATAGTATCCACAGCTCACCGTTGAAATTTGACTATTCAAATCCATGTTCATCTTGAATTTTCGAAAGTTACTCTGTGATATATAGAAAAGGTATAATATATAGAAAGTGAGTAAAATTCCAAGTTTGAAGTTTTTTTCAAGGAATTATGCGATTTTCGTACATTAATAGTACCTCTGTAGACTATTTGCATATATATTTAAGACCCACATGGGATTTCAAACTTAAGGAGTCAATTTGATATTTTTGGGGATATTAGACTTTATGTATAAGGATAGGACAATGTAAGTCTTTCTATTCAGTCTCTGGACAGCAGTAATAGAAAGCAAAAAAAACAAATACAAACAAAAGCTTAATTCAGCTTTATTAACTTATTTGGAACTGCATATAATTACGGTTTATAGGGAGAGGTACTTGCTAGTCTATAATAAGTTTAAATATCACAATAAAGCTGGTGACTTGAACTATAAAGAGAACATTATTTCCTTTAACAACATGGTAAGAGAATGGTCTGTTTGAAAAATGGTACAACTAATTCGTAGCAAGCAATACAATGATAGAAATAAATACCATTTTCTCCAGAACTGAATCTTCATTTAAAAGATGATACATTGAATCATACATGCAAAATGACTATAGATAAAAATATGGCTCTGTGACAGAGGACTAATGATACTATAAATTAATGTGAAGCTGTTTGAAATGATTGGAAATATTGATCAATATTGTTCTCTTAGATCTAGTCACTACAGAAAATATAGGTCATCTTCCTGCATCTAGTGTTACCTGGTACCTGCTCTATTCAAATTTTAAAGACAATTTCCTTCTCTTTACCAGCAGAGTCTGATACTCTGATACCAAATGTTAGCCCTGCTCAACAAACTTCACCAGAAGAAAACAAAAGATGCAATAAATTGGTACAAATGACCTAAGTAATTAATAGTTATATTAAGTTAACTAACAAGTAAAGATATAAGCAAGTACCTGAGCCTATATAACAATATACTCATTCCCATTAGAGAATGAATAAAACCACAGGCAATCTAAAAAAAAAACACAAAGAAATACATATACATGTAAATAGAGAATTCAGTAACCTAGATTTCACTATTTCAAATTATTTATGCTATTAAGGTTTTATTTGTGTGAATGAATATTATGACAATATTATAACCTCACCCTTGAAAAAACAAATTAACTCTACATCTCTTCAGTGTGCAAACCAAGTAAGTTATAATAATTATGATATTGAATATAAATAATGAATAATATTAATAATTATAATATAGTATCATATCCAAATTATTAAATATACTATAAAACTTTGCGAAATTAAATAACTTATTAACAGCTACTGTTTCTTCACCTAATAAAATACAACACAGATCCGGTTTTGAACATGTTTTATAATATCATTCAAAAAGTTTTGCCAACACGAGAAACTTCAGCTTTAAAAATGTGCGTTCAAGTACGGTATAACTTAACTATTGGCAAGGCCATATCAAGTTTAATCCAGGCGATTTTTATCTTTTATCTAAATATCTCAATGTCATATATTGACATGTCATTGATCATCTAGTAAAAACATGACACTTGATTGTCTTCACTATCCAATCTGTCTATTCACAAATTATTGATCCGCAACAAGTGAAGAGTATGTAAATCTAATAAATTTACACCATCAGTTACTGTCAGGAAAAGGGCATGCCGATCACTGTAAGTCAATTCTTACAGAAACAAAATTGTGCCGAAATCAAATCAAATGTGACAGAAAAAAAAAAATTTCTTGATAATTTACTGAAATGCAACTTTGCACTCAATAACATACCCTTAAATATTAAACATATACACACACACAGTTTATTTTTATATTTTCATCAACTTTAACCTTTTTTTTTGCAATTTTTAAAAAGTTACATGAAATAGCCTAACTAACAATACAGTTATATTAGTTCAACAAGGCAAAAAACAGTAGGAAAACAAGAAGGAAACAGATTTTAAAAACGGCACAAGCCTTTTCTTCATACATACACCACCAACATAATTAACAATTTAATAAATAACAAACCTAAAAATTACTTATATCCTTGACATTTAAATATCAAGCTCATTGGTTTCAGTAGCTTTTTAAATACAATGTGAATTTTAACAATTTTTACTATTAAATGAAGAAAATGCTGCATTAATTCGTACAATTTATGCAAAAACTTGAAGGTTTTGTATGTCACAGAAAAAATGGGTTATATCACAGTTATTTAAAGGAAGGATGTTCACACATCATCTCTAGTCAACACTTTACTAATTATTTTGACATTGGGCTTGGTTTAATTATTTATTTCTATGTAGACTAAGTTGATAGTAGTCCTTGTTAATTAATTTCCCCATAATATCAACATTAACATTGTCTTTGTCTTCATCACCAACAACACTTTTACTATCTATTTCTCTATTTTCAAATGATCTGTTATACTGGATCTACCAGTCTTATAATAAAAATATTACTTTATTATCCAGTCACAAATAATTGTAACTATTTAATAAAGATTGTCAATTATGCCCGGCACCAAAAAAAGTTTATTGAATCATACTTGAATACTAAATATTGTATAAACCTATTTCTTATATATAATATATACATAAACAGAAATTTGAAAATAGAGAAAATATTTTTGGTCTTGTTTCACATCACTTTCGTATTTTACAATCCATATATTTTATGTATGTACGTTCTTATTGTACTACATCCAGAAAGCCCACAAGTGACACCAGGACAGTTTAAATATCCATGGCAATATTGTAAACCTCATGGCAAAATGAGGTCTACTGATCAAAGAAAGACAATCGGGCTGTGACAAGTACAGATCTGATGAAAAAATCTAATGAGTTTATTATGACATCTTACCACAGAACTGATCTACTATTTTAATATCTTTTCTTAATATAATGGTAATATGAAATTAACATGGACTTGATTGTGAATTTTTAATTCTGTTTAATTAAACTAGTTAATTATGTTATGTTTGGTAATCAAGCTAATTATCATTAAGATATTAGATCAGTTTAGAAGAAGATGATATGGGTTGATTGACTGAATGAAGCAAGTATAAAATGCTTTGAATGGTGATATTGAAGAGAAAGTAACAATCATAACATGCAGTATAGAGACGTAGAAATTTAGAATGATTATATTTCAAGGATACAATCCGAAAGACTAAAAAAAAACAACAACAAATGGAAACACCCACACATAATGAAACAATAAATCTCCATCTCTCAATTGGAAAGATGTAGCAGATTTTTTTTTCTTTTTCAACCTAAGATAAAACATGAATACACACTTGGTATTCCACATGCAAAATGATGCTAAAACCAAAATAATGGTGTCCAACTAAAAGAAGATTTGAGATGCTTGTTGTTTCTCAATGAAATAAAAAGAAACTTTGAGTTCCTTTAAAATAACTTGATTTAAAAGTAAACATTATCTATGATACTTTTTATCAAAAGAAAACTCAAAAAAATTATAAAGTGAATATCATTTTGTGCAAAAAACCCAAGATGTAATTAAACATGGGATGTCCTATCCCTGATACCAAATAAACTTTCAACTCAATTTTATCTACAAATTTCTTTTTCAGTTTCTGAATTTCATTTGCATAAAAATTTAAAAAAGAAAGAAAAATCAGATTGAAAAATAAATATCTTTATCTTAAAAAATAAATTACTGGCCAAATTTAAAATTAAGCCAAAATAATGATGATACATGACATCGAAAAATTAAATAGTTTACTTAAAATAAATTACATCAAATTGATAAAACCTACAGTGTTTTCAACTGGTTTCAATCTACAAAACGGGCATGAGAGGTGAAAAGAATCACAAAAAAAAACATGAATATCCAACTGACATTAAAATAATGTAACCACAAAAGAAGGTGACAGTAAAGCAAAGAAAAGGAAGAGAAGAGAGATATACCCGTTCAGTTGGAATCAACACACACACAATGAAAAATATGAATCCATGCAATTAATTATAATAATTAATATATGACAGTTCTTCTACTAAATGGTTCTATGGTTTAAAATAAATATGACTTAATTTCAGTTGATTTAATAATAATAATTATAGGCAAATATTTCGATATTTAAATCTTTACACAAACAGTGGTTAACAACAAATATTTTAAATAATAATAATAATAACAAATGATTGACTAAACAGCTTTTTACATCTTAAAGTTTACGATATTTATAATAATAATAATAATCCTAGTCACACGACAACAAATCAGTATATTTATATATATAATACAATTTTCTTAACATGATATATTATGTTTTATATAATGAGAGTATGATATATGTAGTCAAATGGGGAAGAAGAAAAAGTACAATGAGTAACTGATATTGTCTATTAACTTTTTACCATATATACTATATATAATGTTACTTTCTAAGAAAGAGTCTCAGCTTAAAATACACTTATTCCATGAAACTGTTGAAACTTGATTTGTGGACACGGGATGAAACGAACGTTCACTGATTAAGAAATAAACCGGCATTTAAATGGCAACTTGAGCAGCTCACTGAATAAATCCTGCTATAAATGAAAGAATTGTCAAATTGCATCTGTTGAATAATAAAAACATGAGGTGATAACTGTAAGTCTTCCAATTCTTGCACTAAGTTCTTTATTCACAGCGCGCAAAGTTTTTTATATATAGGTAATATATTAATGTGGTCTGTGTGAGATCGCAGAAGAAATATGGGTATTTACAGTTAAGACTAATGTAGATGAAACTTGTTCATCAATGTTCTGATACAGGAGGAGTTGAATGTTTATTATGTTGGTATGAACATTTAACATGCTGAAATTGACCTTTTAAATATGCAAATCACCGATAATCCATTATGCCATTGGTTGAATAGATAAAACTAAAAAAGGCGATATAGTTCTGTGTGATAGTTAGTGATATAAGAGTAACTATATTATAACATCACGAAACATTAGCGTACTGAAGCTTGTCTAGCTCGTTTGTATTCTTCTTGCTGAATACGTTGTTGAATCATAAATGTAGCTTTACTGATATTAGCCAGGGTACCAGTTATTGAAACCAGTCGATTTCTTGTACCAGGTGAATAAACTCCTTTCTTAGATATCTGAATATTTGTACCAGTATACTGTTGTATTTCTACAATACCCTTTCCACCAGGTCCTAAAATAGCTCCAACAATACTCTCAGGTACTTCTAATTCTTGTTTGGTTGCACCAGCAACACCAGCCTTTTCATCAGTTGGGCTATAAATGGCTGTTCCAAGACCAAAAGAATTTTGATTTATGTTTGGCGATCTGTCAGCTGTAGGGAAACCAGCTGTGGTCTGATAAGTTCCTGGACTAGTAAAAGAATCGCTCAACATAGGACTGCTCCCAAAACGTTCTGTACCAATACTGGGAGACGAACTTCCAAATAAGCTTGAGCTTGCACCTGCAGATCCGGAACTTCCAAGACCAGATCCACTACCAACAGGCCCAAACAAACTGGAAGCCCCAGTTGAGCTATTACTTGTATTCAGAAAAGCATTTGAGACACTGCTTGTTGGTGTAGTAGCTGAAGTCATCATACTGTTAACTCCAAGAGATGGTGTACCTAAACTGAGACTGCCCAAAGCTGGTGCTGGTGTCATACTAGGAGTAGCTACATTATTACCCAAACCAAGTCCAACACCTAATATACCATAATTAGCTAGAGTGGTCATCGCTGCACTAATCTCCTCTGTAGCCTGATCTGTAAATCCACTATTTCTTAATGTAACTTTTAAATTATCCAAAGCCTGTCCTGTCATTGAGTTAGCTGATCCTGAATTGACATTAAAGTTAAGTCCACTGGTACTGTTAAATGTGTTTCCATTGAATCCAAAACCAAATGCTCCGCCAGCGAAGTTATTGTTGTTAATAGCAATATCTGAAGTGCGACTCTGTAGAAATGTTGTATTTGCGAAAGGGGAACCTGTTGGGTTGGCACTTGCAACAGGTCCTGTAACATCTGCATAGCTTATATTAGGACAACTACCACTCTGTGGATCTTCAACAATTTTTTGTAATATCATATCTACAGCTTTTCTATCAGCCTCAGAATCACCTGAAATATCGAGTTAATGTTTTAAACACTGGCATTGATGCATCAAATAAAGTAGCCTGGATACAACGTCATTTTTTTCATTTACAGGAAATTTAGATTGTGTTATGGTATTAACCTGTCCATTCTTCTGCCAATATGTATCAGGGCTTTGAGACACTGAGATAATTTTTTTTTAAGAAATACAGTTATCTGCTGGGTTGATCTCATGAATTTTACATGAAATTAGAATTATTCAAACTTTGACAAGGCCCAGCCACCAATATTTTTTTTTCATAAAATTTCCTAAACTGCTGTAAATGCTATTACAAAAATTTATTTGGTATTTTTATTTTCGACATATAAATGTTATCCTTCCAATAAAAAATTTGTGGCTTTATATGGTAAACATACATCCTTCTTAAAAGGTCATACTCCAAATAAAAATTTGATAATGTTATGTAAATTTTGTAAGGTCACATCATTTGATATACAATGATGTAAGAGAATAACCTTTACAAGGTTATAGTTCTAGAGGAAGGGAAATAACTCTACATTGAATAGACTTCTGGAAAGAATTTGGATTTTCTGTAGGTTAAACACTAATGTGACATTTGACATGTGCAGTCAGTAATCAGGAGATAGTTATGCCTTTGTTCAGACAGTTGCACATCCTGGTAATAATGTTAAAAATAGGTTAAAAAAATGACAGCTGTAATTTTTTCTGTCACGGCTGATTTTCGTAATTCAATCAGTTATCGTTGAATGTATACAATCCATTTTGTTCATAAATTCCAAAGCTTCCATAATTACTTACATTGCATATTCTTTTCACAGGCAATAGTAACACATCTTTCAGGTAAATTGGTTTCTTTAGATTTTTGTGAAATTTGTATGTAAGCTCCAGTTTCTTCTTTAATTTGTTTGATATAGTTACCACCTTTACCGATGATCATACCAGCTGTACTATTGGGTACTAATATCTTAACCTACAAGATACAAACAACAGTAATATTGGGAACAGAACTAGTGACAATGCATTACTAACAATGCAGGCCAGGCACAATAAGGGTGGTAGTAGCTTGAACTCAAATCTGTCAGACACTCATTCAAGTTTTCATGAACAAGATTTCTTATAATGTGATGGCCTAGCTTTTCAACTTTCTAATAGTCAGGGTACTGACTGTAGAACAATTCATAGTCTTTTGTGTTACAGTCTTCCGATTTTGGACATCTGTATTTAGGTTACGCTCAAAAAGACTGTTTGATACTTTTGCTGGCCATATACCACTTTTATTTTTAACTTGCGTTATTTATCAAAGGGATGTGGAATAATGCTACAGTTAATGGAACATGCGGATTAACAATTCACCCATCTCTATGAGATATTAATGAAACAATGAATGCATGAACATGTGAATAAAAGCATGTTAGTTGAAATGAATAAACAATGAAATATGAAAAAAAAACAGTACATCAGTTGTATGAGTACATGTTATATGACATATAGACATGAAATGACCTTTACTCATGACACATGGTTAAATAAGGTGTGGAGAATCCAAATTTAATTTGTAGAAATTCATTCTTCAGTAGGATGGTTCAAAATTGCCAACATAGATACAAATGAAAAACTACAATTGTGAAATTTTATTTCAACGAAATTTCCCTAATCATGGTATTCAAAATGATATGATTGACTGATTGAACAAATGAATGAATGAAATGTTATGTTAGGGTGAAGGAATGAAATGATAAACCATTCAATACATTTCAGTATTCAATAATTTAATTTTGTGAGGTGATTAACCCAAACACACAGTGCATAAACAAGATGTGTTAATTTTTTCTTTATATTAAATTTAACCATTAAACCATTAGGGAGTAGGTAGATTTCGGAAAACCACAAGACTTTTTCCACAATAATTTAACATAGGTGTATGAATATTGTCTTGTCATGTCTACTAGTCTTGATAGCACTTACACTTACTTGTCTATGCCTCTCAAAATTCGATTTTGAGTCATCTAATTTTGGGTTAGGGTCAGGCTTTTCTCTGATTTTTTCCATGATAAAATAGTGAACTTTTTGTACAGCTTCAACTGGGCCCATGATGAGACATACTCTTTCTGTTGTGCCTGAAGTAAAGAATTGTTTCAATTTTATTTTTAAAGTTTTAATACACTTCGTTGTGCAGTATACATTTCAATCAAATTATTTGTTTAAAATAGTCAAAACTATTCCTCCAAATCTTAAAGTACTTTCTGAGTTAAGTTAGGAATAATAGATAAATATTGAATATCCGTTAGTTTGTCAGCAAATTGAATATAACATTCTGCAAGCTGTTCTCAAATTCCAATAACATTATTCATAATCTGAATCTAAACAACTAAATGACAATATAATAGATATTTCACTTCTATTTCCTTTTACAGAATCCCTTACTTCAAACAATTCTAATAACCATAAATAATCATAAGCTTTACCTGGATAGAAATCATTGGCTTTTGACATTTTAACTCGGGCTCCAGCTTCTTTTTGAACCTGAGCAATGGTTTCTCCACCTTTGCCAATGATGGCACCAGCGGCAATACTGGGCACTAATATTTTTAGATGGATGTTTTCGCCTGAAAATATAAACAAGAATGATTAAATGATGATGTGGAATCCAACAGCCAAAATGAAGATAGACACAATCTAGATATATTAGTGAAACATCGCGCAAATGCCTTATTCCTTTTTTTTGGCAACAGATATGAATCAAAACTTCTTATTTCTCAATATAGCTCCTGAATTCTCAAAATTTTTATTTCAAAATGCACTAATTGTCTAATTATATTTTAATTACAACCCACAAGTTTGATGCTAATGAACTTCATCAAGTTACTCAAAGTCAAAAGATGAATTGATACTTGTGTTTTAATTGGACAAAATTAAGGATGCTATGATTTACTAAGATTGATGGGTCGTCCATTAATAATTTGTTTGTGGGGATAATTTATTGAAATCTCCCTTACATTCAATGAGAATAAAGTCCAAGTTATGGTGAAAGTGTAGGAGATCTAATTTGATACTGTGAACTATATTAAACAGGTTTAGGTATGCAGAAAGTAAGTTTATATACATATCATTATAGGGTACAGTAGAGAATAAAACACAAAATAAACCAAATATTTTCAGCACTTGTTCACTCATCTATGATATATATGGTTGGTTGAAAAGGAATGTTAGGTGTTGTTTTCAATGATATTTTTAACATTATAGTTTTAACAGTACAAATCTAACTAAAGTATCTGTACCAAATCTGGGTACCATATCTCTTGGTTACATTTTTAGACTTTTATCAGTTGTAATCAAACAAGCCAGTTTTCTCATTTGAAACAATATCCTTATCTCATTTTAAAGGCCATAAAGAAGATAAATCACATGTGTATTGTTCATCATATTTAATGTCTTCAGGGGTTATTTAAGATGCTATCTGTACACAACAAATATTTAGTTTAAGTGGCCTAAATATAGTCTGTGTTGAAAACCTAGACTCAGGTATATACATAGATAAAGGTAAAAAGAATGGAATGCCAGGTAAAAAACAGATGTGCCAAAAGTAATAAGCTTGCATGTAAATTTTCTTAAAATAAAGACTACATTAAGACAAATCAACTCTTCATTAAACTAGATAATTTCTTGATATATACATACAGAATCTAGAATGTAGAATTGAAATCAGTAAGAGGGGGTGGGGTATCATTATAAAATAGAACTCAAGCTATATTTGTATAGGTAAAACCTTGTTTTAAGAGTGCAGTACATTCCAATCTCAACAGGCTATAATGTAACAATATACTTTAAAGCTACACCTATGACTGCAGAATTCCAACCTGAATCTTTCCACCAGAAACAATCAAGACCTAATATGACATCTATAAAGTATAATATGAAATGTTGATGAGAGAGCCAACAGGTAGAGAGATATTGATGACTGGAGGTAATCAATTCATTATTGAACATTCCAGTCATTAGTAGATTTTATTTCTCAATGTCAGGCCAATGTTAGAACTATAGAATAGATTTCATCTTATTTCTTTCTCTCATTCCAATACCTGATATAATTATATGTACACTAGTTTAGGGAAATACTCAATTTGAAATGGCCTAGCACTGAATTTGATATCTGCGTTATAACCTAGTCTAAGTCAAGCCATTTTCAGTCCATATTTAGTATGAATTTATAGCCTACATTTAGGTTTTGGGTGCATCTAGATAAAATTCATTCAAGGTCGGGGAGTAAGTGAATATATAAGTAATAGCAAGGTTTTGTATAACAAACATACAGTGAAACTTGACCAACTAGATATAATGTTTACCAATGTATAATGAAGACTATATATGTATAAGGTCTACTGCTATGAAATATATAAGAAATTTTCAACAATATGCAAACACAATATGGAGAGAGCTTTATCATAAGACAAATAATAAGGTGTTTTCAGTCCATTTCTAAATACATGTAAATATATATCAATAATCATACAATTTCCATGTATTCATAGACAGATATACCTATATAATATAAATAGAGCCACATATTGAACAGACTTTGATCATTCGCTAGCTCAAATCAGCCCACTAATAACATCAGACCAAACATATTGTTCTAATCTAAAACTAAAATAAAAGTAGAAAATATTTATAAGCAACTTGCCAGTATTGCCAGCTGAGGCGGCCATGGTGTTATAGAGTAGCCCGGTCAGTCCATCGTCTATATCTAACTGTTGTAGTATGGTCATAGTTAGAGCTAGCTGGCTGGTTGTTTTCACCAGGAAGGTAATGGACTGACTGAATAAATATATGGTAGATATAATCCACTACCTATCTAGGTCAATGATTACCATCAGCTCAGCTGAGTTGAGACGTCCAGTTGGCCGGTCAGTATCAACTAACCAATAACCTGAGTTCAATCCTTCATACCTCACTGCCCAAACATGTCTAATGATATAGAGTTTTGGTAGCAAATGGTTGAGGGTATATCATTAGACAGATATAAAGGTCATATGACTATTATCTAATAATTATTATATAATCTTTACTGTAGTCTTAATAATTCAATAGTTATTATCAACTCTCAATATAATATTATATAATAATCTCAATATAACCTCTCAATCATTACAAATATCATTTACATTTTTTATCATACACCTTATATCTCTCTTTTGACCCTTTCAAATACAAACAGCCCTACAACATTCTGCAATTGCCAATAAATATGGGCCATATTGAGATAGTGCTGAGTCAGTATATTTTTGTGAAAATAGAAGTCAACTGGAAGAAGAATCAATAATCTTCATTATCAGTTTACTTGCCTCAATCTTCACACATTCCAAGTGCTTCCATTCCATACTTTACTCTCCAGGGTTATTTTTTTGCTTCAACTGTTACTGATTGGAGGACTCGTTATTTTTCATATGTTAACACTTTTATTAAATCATCATTTGATTTATATTAATTAGATAATACTGTATTTTAATTTAGAGAGTCACATAATTTCAAAATATGAATGATATAATTACAATTAATCACAGTTCAACAATTTGATTTGGAATTTGTTTGTAGCTGCTGCTCTTTTAATTTTGAAAATACAAACTGGAGTTAAAATTGCAAAAAATGTTTCAGACTTATGACCAGTATTGTAGCCATGCCAACCAGAAATTCTTCTATTTAATCATGTAATTAAGTGCAATCTTAAGATAGCTACATCAGAATTTCAAATTCATCTCAAGTGTTCTTTTTAACACATAATTATAAAGTCAATTGGAAGTAATTACAGTAGATATTCAAATCATTAGTGTATGGAGTATGGAAAATGAGAAAAACAAACATTAATATATTTTTGTAGGTGTCATACTGTACAAAATTTAACTCTTCAAACACTTCCCTCTAGGATCCTGCCCCTTGTTATAGAATAATAAATAGGGAATGTAATATTGTCTGCTTGTAGCTGCCTGAGAGTAAACATATTGATATTTGGTGGGTGGGGATGTTAATTTATAGACTAGTAATTATCATTATGCCAGCAGAATCAATATCAACTACATACTCTAGTAGTCTGCTAGCCTGCAATGTTTCAATCAATGTAAAGGTATGACACCAAAAGACCAACTATCAAATCATCTCAAATAGATTAACAGCCAGGATTTCATTAACGTCAACCACCATTCTTATCACCATTAATACCAGAAAAATACTTCTTGCCCTGACTTTTCTTCAGAAGGATATAGAAAATTTTTAATATTCAATCTAGAGCATGAAATGATCAAGAGGGTCAAATACAGCTGGCCACAAAATATGATTATTTCTATTAATATGAATGGTTTTATTAATATATGAATACTAAATGGAAATTAAGTAGAAACATGGACAACATCTGGTTCATTATAAATAAAAATCATACAGTTTGTATCTAATCCTGTACAGATTCACAAGAAAAGATAATGAACAGTGATGGAAATAAAAAAAATGCAGATTAAAATTAATTTCAAATGAGAATTTAATGAAGCCATGTTTGCATCTATTGATAAATGAATTGCTTGAAACTGTTGAAAATTGGAAACAATTTTTGCGAAGAAATAGTTCACATTGTGTGGAAATTCATATCATTTTCACAATAATTTCACCTACATACCAATATTACTTAGATATCATTGACTGTAAGTAGTGTATATTTCTTATTTTTATTTCAACAATTAAGGGCAGGCCACCGTAAATTTCACAGTAGTAGAAGTAAGTATTTGACTGTCTTTGTGACAGCAATGAATTTATGTATATAGGGGTTAATATTCTATGGGGAAACTGCTAGTTGATACTTGCGAGCTATGTTTCAATTAAGATTTACGTTTGAAAATTCAAAGAATCCAAAATGGAGAACAGAAAGCAAATCAACCTCGACCATTTACAGAAATATAGAATTAGACTTGGCATTGGCGTTTAACTTAGTGCCATTACCTTTGGCGAGAATTCAATTCTACAACAGTATCAAGCAGGTTAATATGAACTTTCCGACTAGATAGTATGATAAAACTGAGAGAATGTTCAATAGTCTATCTAAAGTAAGAACTAGTCAAAACACGGATAGATCTTTTCCTACGCACAAATCTCACGAAATGGACGACATTTTGAATAATGCTTAATGACAAGAAGGAATTAGGTCAAAATCCCAAAAAGGGAAACTTGGTTTGCAACAACCTGTAAGAGATGCAGTCTGAATCTCAAGGGGCCTCAGTTAGCTTTTCCATGCAAACAATCTTAAGTAGCAACCTTGAAGGAAATTATAATCCTTTGCAAGCAGCAAATGCTCAAATCATAGAGCTGAGACATTAATACTTTTAATACAGAAACCATTTCACAAATTCGATAGAAGCCTTTATAGCAGTCTTGTCTTGTGTTTGAAAAAAAACAGAGCAAATTTTCCAAGTAGCAACGAGTAAAACAGTGAAGTGAATATTATCTGACTATACTACAATAAGTAACTAGGTATAAAATCTGACTTCAATAAAATATGTTGATCAAGACAAGAATAACCTTCACGCTTCATATCATTTTTATATCACATGTAGCCAAGTAATGGCTACAAATATATCATCTTAACAATTCTAAAAGTTTTGACTAAAACAGTACAGAAAATGTTGACTGGAAAAAAACTTTAATATTTTTTAAGTTGAAAGATATAAATAGACCTTTAAAGTGGAAAAAAAGTAAAAACTTCCTTGAAATATTCTTAGTCCAATGTCTTATGTTCCAAGCTAAGTTATCAAAATCAAAAATATGAACATGCTGTATTGTATTGTTTTTTTTTTATCTACTAGAGCATGTACATACATCTTTTAAAGTGAAATGAAATTTGGTATATATATTTTGCAACTGATTGAGCTAATAAAGACAGGAAACTTTGCAAATTAAGTGCAAATTAAAGGAACTTGCTAGTACATCAACATACTAGGATTACTTCCAGTTGTCCAGGCATCTTATGTGCACAGGGCCTTAGTTGGTAAATCCTACTATTGTTTGTAAGCTGTATAGAAATATTGGTATGTAATTAAGATGGCAGAGGTCACTGATTAAGAATCAATCAATATCAGCACTCAGAATGTCTGGACCTACGGACATACATTTTTCTTCTATAGTAAAGGTGATATAGGTACAAATTTTGTTACATATGGTTAGAATTAACCTATTCCTACAACCTTGGTTATTCACTCAACAATTGATGTGGTTCTGGGTTTATTCAACTCTTAACTTGACCACAATTGTCCATAATGCTTAAATAGTATGTCAAGACATTTATGTTTCCTCTGTATTTTGTTAGCCATGGACATGAAATTCCTTTACAAAAATAGATGCCAAGGGTAAGTCCTGAAATACCCTACAGATTTTGCTCTGAAAGACTATATAATAATCAGATTTTGACATTCCCTTTTTACTTGCTATCGTTTTAAAAAGTCTTATCAATTCAGATATAAGGAAGCAAACTCAACATTTTTAAAGAATTTTGTGCTAAAAAATGTGAAAATTGTAAGAAGTGAAAATTGTAAGAAATGAAAACATGTATTATATGTAGAGTTGAAAAGAGTTTGTATCTATTTTTACTGTGCAATATAAGTTGAACCTATAGCGTAGATTGGTAAAATGTAGGTAAATAACCTCAATGTATATCATCACATGATAATGTGACGTAATAACACAGTGAGATATATACCTGACTTCTATTAATATTATCATGTACATTCTATACCACAACTTACTTATATAATATACTTACTATTTCATCTTATTTTTATTGTAAACTTAAATAATGTAACAAATTTCCTGAAAAATTGTTAGAAAAATATCCTTTTTATAAACCTTTAAAACTTTGTACTTTTATTTTTAAACTAGGCTGAATAGAATTACATATTATCAAGTTGTTAAGATGCCAAGAAACATCATATTACATATATTTAAAGTTCTTGGTGTAATTTTTTAAGTAACATTCAAGAACCCTAGTTTTATTCAAAAGAAATCAATTGTGCTATTATAAAGCGAAATGAGAGTATATTTCTAGTATTGCTTCTCAAGGCCTATATTTCTAAGTTTAATTGTGTGCCAAGATCCTTAGGTGATGAAGTGTAACTACATCAGAAAGCACAGTTCAAAACGTCCAGTGAAATTTTATACAACAGCAAAAGAGTATTCAGATTCTATTCAGTAGGTAACATCAAATGATGATCATATGAAGAAATAGTTTCCACAATAAATTGGAAGAGAAATGACAAGAGTATGATTTACTAAGGGTGTGGGGGAGTCTAACATTAATAGAATCAACAAAGCAAACCAGTTTACAACACACTAAATAATAAACAAACTTAGGACAAGTTGAACAACATCATCTAGATGATGAGAAATCTTAGCCATTTTCATTAAATATGTTAAACTTGTTTCCATTTTACCTTACAAACTCTTTCATGTCCTACTACAGGTTTACAGTTGGTCTATATGATATGGGAGGGAGTATTTTTTTTTTTTTAAACAGCCTGTATTTGGTCTGAATGCCTACATATATGGAAATATAGCCGTAATTGGTAATAATCGCAAATATGACCTGCTTGTCTCCTTATTTTTTCAAATCAAATTTTAGTAAAACTACCAACAATATTTATAAAGTCTCATCAACATTTTCTGCATATTCATTAGAAACCTAGCCTTATAATGGAAAGTCCAAAAAACAAGAGATCTTTCATCTAACTTGCTCGATCAAGAAACAGGCCTAAATTTGGAGATGAGATTATTTTGATCGTAATAATGTGAAATATTATTTAGAAGTAAACTTACATCATAAATAGAAAACAATGGTTAATTAATATAGATTTTGGATAAATGAGAGCTATTGAACAATCAAAGTTATGAATAAAATGAAGTCGTGGCTAGAAACAGTGTCTACATATGTATACATCAAGTTGCTAAGTTAAAGTTGGATATGTGCCCACATAGAATCAATAAGACTACCATTATACTTGGCTCGTTTCTCTACAATACTCAACAATTTATATATATATTATTTAACACTGCACCATATCATTCCTTTATCTAAAATCATTCAGCTACATGATACACAAAGCCTCATATTAATTAATGATAATGAGAAGAAAGACTAAATGGGGGAAGTAGGGGGGAATAAGCTCTGGAAATAAACGAGACTTATTGTACAGTTCCATTGATCAATCATTTGAAGGCCACATCAATTCTTTACACTAAATTGTTGGTCAACATGTCTATATGGATACTGTTAAAGTCAAATCAAAGTGGTTTGTCATATCCTTCAAATTGAACTTATCATATGGTTGTGTATGGTCAGTCACATGCTTAGTAACAAAGTTCAAGTCAGAATAAAGGTCATTAATGATAGTAAATATTCTGTCTATAATTTGACCTCATTTCGGTCATACATAATCATTTGGGGACAAAACTGATAAAACACAGCTGACTAGAACTAATGTCAGTTTAATTCTCCTGCCCCAATGCCAGATGATTCTTTTTTCTTCAAAGAAATTTATTCACGTGCTATTAGCAATATTAGCATGAATGTCTGCCCATAAAATAATCACATGACTTACTTATATGGAAAGAAATCCAGACAAATAATAACATAGTTTAGCTTAAATTAATGAATGAAAAAACCAGCATAATATAAATGTAAATTGGACTTACATTGAAACATTGTTTTCTCTGCTAGATCCATTATTTTATAAAACATGATTAACTAGTAGACTGATATGAAATGATATGAATGATGATCTTGGTATAAATGATCAACGTGGTCAACACAGTAACCTCTGACCCTTTATACCATATCACCCATATTTATACCTTGTATTTTAAATGTCATACACATCATTCAGGTAAAGTTTGTTTATAGATACGTTGTCCAGTGAGTGGAATTCATATTATAGATTAATCAGTTGTTAA